TCTGGCCGAATTGGAAAACCTCGTTTATCTGCCTCTAGTAATCGCTGAATAAGTGTTTCCTCTTCAATAGCCTTTAATCTATGGCCATTAGCACGTGTTTCTGCGCGTGGTTGTCTTCCTTTAAGGCGAGCGCGAAGGGTAGCCTCAGGCACCCCAAAAATCTCTGCAGCCTTCAGTATTGATTTGACTTTTTGATTTTTATAAGCTGCAATAGCCATTTGAATTCGGTTTTCTTGAGATAAAGGCATTTTTGATAGTGGTGGTGATAAAATGACGCGTTGAAAAAAGGAAGTGGTAGGGTGGAGGAAAATTCGTCGCTCGGTGGTATTCGTCGCTCGGTGGTTGATTACGTTAACTAACTATAGTATGGGGAGATAGGAATGTGTCAGCCAAAACGTGTTACGTCTCAGACGAACAACCCCGCACTGAGTATGACCAATAAAAAGAACACCGCTTGAAAGCCACGATATGCCTATCAGGGGTCCATGATGTATATAAAGAGAGAAGAATTTTACCTAGATAGACAGACGAGGGGACAAGAAGGACAATGGGAGATGAGATTACAGAATTGGAAAACCCATTGAGCCTAGAGAATCCTTGACAGAATGCCTATATAGGAGGCACTGTAAACCCTATATAGGGAGCCACATGTTATTGCCTTATATAGTATGGGAAATTTCCTATACTTTAAGGAAATTTCCTTAGTGTATAGGAGGTTTCCTTATGGTTACAGGAGATTTCCTTATAGTCTAGGAAATATCGGCAAGATAAATTGTACGTAGTTCCCCCACAACTCTCAGCATCTGCTACCTGTAGCTTTGTCTTTCTCCTCTAACAATCTAATCTCCTATGCCTTTACCACTAGGTAACTACCACGCATACTGGTTTCTGTGACTAGTCCACTATTTGTCCTGCCTCTTGCTCGTTTTAGCGCTTGGGGCATGACTCGGCAAAACAATGTCGCCCTCGCCGTTCGAGAATCTGCAGATCAAATCGCCAGTGACAATCTTACAATAACGGATGAAAGGATCAAACTCCCTGGTTTCGGGCCGGACCTCACCCATTTCCCCAGGTCTCCCCCTGGACCGTGATGGAAACCGTCTGCGATTTCCTCATGTCATTGCCGATGATTGGACCTCTGGTGGCGTGACAGTGCGGGAACGACGGATGCTGAGCTTTATCAACGACATCACAGACAAACCAGGGTGGGAGAGGGAAGTCTTTGACCAGGCCATTACGGCACAATGGAGAGCGGAGGCTTGTGTCTGGAGGGAGGACCTGAATGATGTGTTTTTGTCGAGCGCCATGTTTGATTATGTGAGTGCTGTATGTGCTCGAGCGCAACACCTCTAACATGGCCAGCAGTGCATGCAAGAACTCCGCGACAAAACAGTCTATTACCAGAAATCGGGCATGGTTTCCGTCTGTTGCGACACCGCAGTGGTCAAATCCGATGTTCTCGTACCAGCACGCCTGGCCGAATCCCTTCAGGACGCTGTTCGTTCGCTGGAGAATGTTCCAGAGTAACAGAAAAATTGGCATCCAGGATCGGGCAAGAAAGTTCTGGATCTCCTTGATCCATCGCTCTTTCCTTTGATCTACGGACAGTCGAGAGTGTTGCCTTCTGGAACGGTTCCGCTGGAAGACTGCTCTCGCTTTACCGGGGAGGGAGAGTTAGTTGATCCTCCTCTTGAAGACAACTATCGCTTTTATCACGCTGTATGGTTCAATGCCTGGGGGAGCTTCCAATGGCTGCCATCCAATGTTTCCTTTGCGGAAAATGGATCACCCCGACTGACTAGCTATATCAACAATCTCCACCCGCAAATGCACAGTGATCTATACGAAATTCTTGAACAACTTGTGAAATGTTCAATGCCACTCTGGAATGAGCGCTTATCATGGTTTCAGAGACGACTTCGAATCCAGCGAGTTGCTGGATCGATCCATAACTTTACACTGCCGGAAGGTGTGAAGTATTACCCACCCCGTGATAGAGTGTCCGACACGGAAGACAAAAGAAGATGGCCTGTCATTGGAGCAGGTGGAAGAAAGGGGTTTCTTCTTGGACGAGGACTTTAACAGTTGGTTCTCCCGGCACCTCGTCTTGATACAGAGAGAACCGAATGCCTTTATCTCTCGCGAACGATCGGAATCTCAACCTGACCACCACCCCTTGGATCTGCAAAAAGATTTTCGTTCCTCCGGTTTGCAGATCATCTTCAAATTGGCAAATATCCATCTTACACCAGAAAACCCCAGATACGCAGGCGTCCCCTGGCATATCGAAGGAGCGCTCAATGAACATATTTGCGCGACAGCTCTGTACTTCTATGATGAGCAGAATATTACCAACGCCACATTGCCTTCCGCCAGTCTATAAATACGGAAGACATTGAGAATGAGGCGATAAAATCCCTTCGTTGCGCAATAAAACGGACTAACGACATGCAGGATGAGCACGATTCCTTGGGAATGTACTACGGGATTGGATACTTTAAGCCAGCCATTCAAGAACTTGGCCATGTGCATACTCGACCCGGCCGTCTGCTCGTTTTTCCCAATGACCTGCAACACCAATTCCGGCCAATCAGTCTCGCGGATTAGACCAAGCCTGCACACTGCAAGATCCTTGCCATGTTCCTCGTTGATCCATACGTTCCTGTTCTGTCGACTGCCAATGTCCCGCCTCAGCGGAGAGATTGGTGGGAGATCGAAGTTCGGAAGGTCCCTTCATTTGATATTCTTCCCAGGGAAATCTTCGACATGATCGTAGGGTTTATCGATGGTCTCCCTCTGAGCTGGGACGAGGCAGTGAGGGTGAGGCAGGATCTGATGGATGAACGGGGGGCTTTGGTGGACGAGTTAAATAAGAAGATGAAAAGGGCATGTCGATAAGCAAGACATTGAATACTTGGATGGCGTATTGATTCCGCTGCAGAATAGTCTTGAGTGTCGTCAGCGCACTAGACACCGCAATGGTCACATATTCAGTCTGTAGAGGTAGAACAGGACTGACAAGAAAATATGTTACTACAGCAGCCATGACTGCTGGCGCAGAGCCTCGGTATGAAACTTGGGATGTCAATATGTATCCAATGTCCATGACACCTGTTGCTAGCAAACAGAGCTGGGTTGATACAAAGATGGCACAGAGGACGAAAGCAGAGCTGTCACTCGATCATACAGAAGGAATGCAGGCCCTCATTTGCTGAAAGAAACACTTGAATATGCCAATGCGAGTCTCGACGTATGAAGGACTTTCAGGAGCCGATATTCTACAATTATCCTGAGCTAGGCTAGCCTTACCAGTCTTTAAAATAGAAACAATCCGGATATGGATGAGGGCGATAATAATAATGATAATTAAAAACTACTGAGTACTCCGTAAATAAGTTGAACTACGCCATAACCAACAGCCCCTAACTGCAGACAGCCAATGAGTGATATCGTCGAGTGCCAGTATCATATCCGCCAGACAAGCAGCGTCATTCTCATGAGTATCCCTGCGTGTTTCTCACCTTTCCTAATATCCCATATTCAAGCTGCAAAAGTTTTGCGTTATTGATCGATCAGCATAGAAGGGATTTCTGTGCTCATGCTGCGTGCATTCATTATGGATTCTTATACTCGATGACTGATTGTCAATATTCTGAACCTGCGGCTGTTTTCTTACACAGGGTGCTGCTGCGGCTACCCTCTCCTTGAATTCTACTTGTTTTAGCTACTGATTTTTGATGCTTGTTTGGTCAAAATTCAGCCTCGAATAATTAATTATGTTGCTGCCTGATGATAATGATGCCGACGAGCCGACGACATGGATGACGAACGACGGACTTTGGTGTTGCACGGCAGTATCGTACTGTTCTGGTCTCTGAAGTTTGTACGTACTGTCGGATCTTTCGGTATCCGGATAGAAGATACGAATATCCACCGTTCGTTCGAACACTTGATGCCTGCAAGTATGTAGATGCCTGCTAGGTACGTAGTAAGTGCCGAATACTTGGTAGATGTATGCCCTGGCTGTTGACTGCGCCACAGTCCGATCCAGTCGGGAACCATGGATCCATACAGAGTACACCCAGCATTACAGATTTAGATTTGGCTGTGCCGTAATTGTGTACTCGTAAAAGAAAGAGAAAAGAAGGAAAAGAAACGAAGCAGAACGCTGCTCTTGCGGATACAATACTGAACGGAGTAAAATAAAAGTACGGAGGAAAATCGGAACGTTCGGATAGCTACATCTACGTGCAGCGGAACTAAGGTGTTTAGTACTCCGTACTATAGTTTTATTTACTCTGTACAGTAATTATCACTTCAGCAAACACTCATCGATGGATGGAAGTTGAGATGTCGTTATTGATCAGATCATTGACATCAGAGGGGAAAAAAGAAAATGACGACTCGGAAAGTAAGGATCTTCTCTGTCATCTGCAAAGATCCGGTAAGATAATATGTTTCTGACCTGAGCGGCACGGCACTATTAAATTAGGTAGTAGAATAATTATATTCGTTTCTACCTTGTAGGGCTGTATCTATCCACACACAGTCCACGCACCACAAGAAAACACTTAGATTATCGAATCTGTCATCATCTCTCTTCTTCTATTATTATCATCATCATCCAAGAACAAAGTATTCCTCCAGCATGGCCACGATCAGGCAGCTTCATTTCCAGTATTTCCCCCTTGCGGCTGTACAGGGCTGCTGGCCAATCAGCGAAGGCGGCTGCCCCTGCGCCTCATTACGCATTTCCCCGGTCGGTAAGATTAATCGGTAAGATTACCGTCTCGTCTGCCACTTGTGGTTCGGAGTGCGAGCGCTTGCTCAACAGCGTAATGATAATTAAATCCAAGATCTTGGCTCCGCTAGGCAGCTTGTTTGAGCAGGGATTGACGCGGATCGAAACGCCCGCCCCAGAATGTCGTCGACTCGTTCGTGTATTACACCGGTCTGCTGCTGTGCAAGGCCAGATGCACAGCCGGGCACGTATCCAAGGGGGCTGAGCGAGCTGAGCTGTCCCACAGGAAATCAATAGACCGGGATATGGAGCTGATGAGGTCCGTGTAATAAACATACTACTCCGGAGGACAGGCTACGCCGTATAAGAAGCGGCTTTCTGCCCTTGCTGCTGTTTCTCATACTCTATCATCTATACATTCTCGCAAGTGGCCTGCCTCTGCCAGCATCGTTCACTCAATCAATTCCTCCAATCAAGTACTCCGTACTACTCCTGATATCATCAACATGCAGCTCAAGTTCCTCCTCGCTTCCGCCATCCTCACCTCCTCCGCCCTGGCGATGCCCCAGCCCACCCCCGCTCCTGTCCTTCAAGACCGCGACATCGTCTCCTGGGCCCTGTCCATCGCCACCGAGGCCGCCAGCGAGGGCGCCAGCATCGCCAGCGACGCAGCTGGGGCCGGCCTAACCATTGCCAGCGACGCCGTTAGCGCCGCCCAGACCATCGCCAGCGAGGCCGAGTCCATCGCCAGCGAAGTCCGCACGGGCGCGACGTCCTATGCCTCGCAATGGGTTACCCACGCGCTGAGCGTCGCCAGCGAGGCGGAATCCCGGGCCACGCAGCTCGCCAGCGAAGCCCGCACCGAGACCGACAGCGTCATCGCGTCACGCAAGTCGAAGTGGGCATCGATCGAATCGGCGATTGCATCCTCTGCCGAGAGCCTAGCTACGTCTGTGGCCTCGCAATACCATGTTGAGATCGTCACGACTGCTACCACCACTGCCACTGGCACGAGCACTGGCACGGGCACCACTGCTACCGGCGCCCAGGCCACTGCTTCGACTTCGTCGTCGACCGGCGGAGCCATGCCTGCTGCCACCGGTAATCTGGGCTTGAGCATTGCTGGTGTGGCTGGGCTGGTTGGTGCTGTTGCTATTGCGCTGTAGTGTGCACACCATAGCCGTGCCAAGTTGAATATGATCAGAGCGAATTCAATTCCTCATCTTGCTTCCTCCTTCTTGCGTTGCAATTTTCTACCTCTTCTTCTTCACTTCAGTCAGCTGTTTGTTTCCTATTTCCGGCGTTAGTGCGGCATATAAATAAATAAACGGGTTTGGTTGGTCGGGTTCGTCATGTCAGGAGAGATGAAAGGACAAGATAAGATACCTATGATTGTATTCATTCGTTTGTTTGTTCATGCGTGTCATGCTTGTCATGTCATGTCATGTTGTGCTCTATTATTGTGTCAAGTCATTTCGGACATTATCGACGACATCATATCATATCATATCGATTCGATTGAGATCGAGTTCGATTGATGAAAATGATGATGAATATGGAGCAGTGTTGCAAAGAATAAAAAAGAGAGCGAGCAGGTGAGAGAGCAGAATTCAAAAATGTTTTCCGGGACAATCGCATATTATATCCTGTCGTATTTCATATCTGTTATAAATACGTACGACATTCACTGTACCATACATAGTCGTGTGTGCAGGTAAGGACGAGAATCTGACGAATCCATCCACACAGAGTAATAGATGCAATGAATCTGTGAACAACTATCAACTGCTGAATAGGTAAGTAGTACTTGGAAGCAGGAAGTAGGTAAGTATTGTTTGGCGTCAACAGGTTCGAGTGAATAATATTCTTTCATTTCTGTTTTTGAGGTCAGTCAGCTTAGATCAGCTCAGGCCGGATCAGATTGGCTTGGAAGCGTTTTTTTTTCTTATTCGTCCAAATGAATCACTGATCACTGAGTTACGTGTGAGCTACTTGCACTGTCGTGCCTGTATTTAGCACGGGAATATCGACTTCAATAAGATTATTCTGGCAATATATATATACAGTACATTGCCCTGCTGTCTCGTATATACACACTCTTCGCTACTATATTCCTGCCAGGATCTACACGGTGGTCGTCCCCTGCTGACACCCTATCGACCCATTCTGGTAGTTGTACTTGGTCGACGTATCGTAGTCCCACCAGAACTTCAGATACTGCGGGTACGACGACGGCACCTGGCACGTCTTGACATAGTCCGGCAGACTCTTCTGCAGGATCGATGTGTAGTTGGCCAGCGGGCACGAGTACCCGGGTCCCGACTGGCACGCGTTGAACGGAACGACGGCCTCGTTCAGCACGATCCGCACGTACGTCCCAGCTTCGGAAATGGCTGTCGCGTTGCAGCTGAGACGCTCGATCGTCAGGTGGCCTTGCATCGGCATGATGTTGCCGATTGACCATGGGTTGCCGAAGGGGATATAGTCTAGGGGCAGGTCTTCGTGCGGGATGAGAAGGCCTAGCGCGGCGATGATCGGGGTGATGTTGGTGTCGTGGGCGCTGGATTGAGTCAGCATTAACACTCGCTGTGGACTCGCTGTGGTGCATAGCAGATCTTACAAGTTGAAGAACAGCGTTCCAGCCGATGGCCCCTCGTTCAGCAGTGTAAGACTCGCGTTCGCATACACGGCTCCAACGGCGTACATGTTCCTGTCACCCGGACTGCACAAGTTAGTCGATGAATAATAGTCAGTCCACTCGACTGGCTGCTTACCCTGCACAGTAGTAATAGATCAGGTCCTGCGTGTAGCCAAAGCTCACCCACTCGTCCAGCGTGAACGCATTGATCCAGTCCGAGAACGGCCGGGCGTTGAGCTCAAAAGCCGCCATCTCTGTTCATGTCAGCCAGGTCTTCGCAAATGACAGGGGTGCTGCCTACGCATCAGATTGTAAACATCCGTCGCGTTGAGATTAAGTCCCGGGTTCTGCGTGTTTAACCGCTCAGCGGCGACGTAAAACTGCGGCATCATCTTGGGCAGCGCATTGCAGGTGCTTTGGTCATTGTCATGGTCGCACGTCGGCGTCAGGCTGTCGGCACCCCGGTCCTCGTCCTCAGGGATGATGTTGATGGCCGCGCTGGTCGAATAGTTGTATCCGAAGAATCCCTCGCCGAACTTGCGCGCCGTCTCGATCACCCGCTCAAAGCCGCTGGTGAAGATGGGCACGACCGACTTGCCGTCCCACAGATGGCCGTAGCGGTCGCGGTATTCGGCTCCATGACGGAAGGCCGTCAGCAAGCCCGCATACGGCCCCGTCCACGTCTCAGCCGAGTAGTAGCATTCGTTCGGGACGAAATAGGTCCAGTCGTTGAGGAAGGCCAGGTCACCCTTCCAGTCGGTGATGCCGGAGGCATAGATCTTGGACAGGGTCTGCTCGAAGGCGGCGCCTACGCTCGGGTCTGGGTAGCGTTCGCCGTGTCGCATGATGGTGATGACCTGGTCGACCGCACATCCAGACGGCGGGTCTCGTTCGATGCCGTAGGAGGCGCGTTCCGAGTAAGGCCCATTTCCGCCATAGTGCTTCAGAATGCTGTAACCTTCGCTGAATTGCTGAGAGAACTGTTTCTCGAGGTAGGAGCGCGGGTTGGCGGCGCCGTGCGTGCGAGCAGAAGCGCCCACGGCGGTGCAAAGCACCAGGGCGGCGTGATAGAATCCGACCATGCTGGGATTCGGCTGCAGCTGAAGATCTGCGTCAAATCGGATGGAGTGCAGTCAACGACCAGCATTGGGGCCGTCGTTCCATTTATCCTTATCTTCGATCATGGGCTTGTGGGGCATCTGCCGCCGTCAGTCGTGATAACAAGCAATTAGATGCAGGACAGCTCGGAAGGAATGCCAGATCCGCATTAGGATAGATCTGTTGCTGGGCAAGATTAAGCGGGTTGCACGCTTGTTTCACCCCGGACGCGTCGCTAGGGACACGTGCCAGGAACAGCATACGTTTAGATCCATCTGCACCAGCTGCTCCACGGCCATCGTGCTGGCAGAGCTGCTGCTCATTGGAGTCAGTGGCCATGCGATCCGAACATCCGAGTGAGATAATAACCAGCCAGGTACAGCTTCTAGATGGGTCCGCCCCAAAGCCAAATTTGCCAAGATCACCGCTGCTGATTGATAACGGAGAGCTCCGCGTTTTTGATGTTAACTAATTGGCACCATCGTGGGGCTTAGCGGAACGGTGTCCGTTAGGCTCAGGCCGGTCCCTTTCTGATATCACCCTGATCACATTTGCGTGGTTTTTCTGGAGGACGGATTGTTAGTTACTCCTTAGTATTAAGTAGTGGTTCGAAACGTGGTATTGCTGGGTATCCTCGACTTACGCCCGATCAGGAAGGAGAATCCACGTGCCGGCAGTTCTGTCAAAATCGCTATCTCCATCCGCGATTGAGCCTACAGGTCGTTTTCAGGATGAAAGATGGCAATACGGGGAGCTACAAATCGAGCAGAAATGCTGTCTTGATGTGCAATGTGATCTGTCTCACTTGAGGCCACTAACAGACATTCAATCAGTGAGCCGGACGGGAGAGTTATCAGAGGACAGCTCACTGCCTAGGCTTCCGGGTGTAACGTATGAATTGAATGGGAAAGGACGGCGTGTGCAGCCATTTCGTCTCGTGGCAGCATGATATTATCCACAGAATAATTCATTGAAGGTAACCAAGCCATCGATGCATCCGCTCGATGGAATGCGCGTGGATTCTGCGCGTTCGCTATCGAATGAATTCTTTCCTGGCTGCGCGATCAAGCGCAGCTTCACGACCATTCTAAGAAGACACCAGCGATAGGTCAGAGTTTATCTCTCAGCAGAGAAAGGGAAACTTACGAAGTAGCTGTCAGGTCATAGAACTTGAGGAACGCGGCTATTAGCGACTGATGATAGAGAGGTGTGAGTTGTTCCATGACTCGTGACTCGCTAAATGGAACACGTGCCTGCCTTCCGTCCCTCTAACGTGATCAGCCAGCCGATAAGGAGGAAAGCATCTCTCATCTTCGCTTGAGTAAGAGTCCTCAATCTTGAAAACTCGCGTTAAAACCATAGCTCTATCATGGGCGACATGAGTACGGCGTTTGTTGCTAAACAGAGTGGTTTTGCTCATAGTATGAGGTTGTGGTGACCGTCCTTACTACCAGTATACTGCTGCTGATATAGTGAAAACCTGAACAGGACCAGATACGCTATTTTAAATAAGGAATTCCGTATATATCTCCATATTCAGAGTAGATCTATGGACTTCAATGAGGGTACTTGGGGACTCGTCCGTTTGTGGGTTCTTACTGATCACCATTTATGAGCATCATAGTATGCCAGTATGACAGTCAAAATCTGCAAAGAAGACACAGATGTAGACAGCAGAGTTATATCTGGCATCTCTTCTCACTCCAAGGAATTTATTCTAATACTACTCTTTATAATGTTCTACTGATTATCAGTGATTTATTTTTGCCAAGCCGCTAAACCCCGGACCCACGCCGCTTCCCCCGCTACGGCTCGCCGAACCATCCAATAAGGACGCCGATCGACGCGTTCCTGCCGAAGCGACTCGCAGAGCATTTCCGTGTGTCTTTCCTTGCTTCATCGCCGACCGCACGCTTCACCATGCCCTTCCTCCTCTTCTCCCTCCTCATCCTGTGCACCACCCACGTCGCACGCGCAGCCCTGCCTCCCGCCTGCACCAGGATCCTCGGCACCCTCAGCGACCGCCTGGACTCCCTGGCCCACTCCTACCAGGCCGAGGTCTGCGCCAAAGGCTGCCAGCCCGCCGTCGCCGACTGGGAAGAATGGACCTACCAGCACGCCTTCCTGCCCTTTGTCGACACCGTCGCGACGGAGATGGGCCTGTCGTCGCGCTTCCGAGAAACTTTTATCCAGTTCGGTGAGCAAGTCGCCGCCGTCGTGAAGAGGGACTGCGGGCCGTTGTTGCAGGGCAAACACTTCTGCGCGGAATCAGAGGCATTGAACCAGTGGGGGAGCTGCTTCAAGAAGAAGTCGGCTGTCGTCGCGCTCAAGAACAGTCTCAAGCTGTTTCCGCTGGTGACGTCGGAGATCTGCAAGGGAGAATATACCTATCTGGAAAAGGACGAGCTGTGGGAGGTGGTTCTTCCGGGGTATATGAAGGAGTATGCAGCGACGTGCAAGAAGGACGATACACATGACGAGCTCTAGACATTCGAGTTCTATCAATTTGAGTGATACGACAAAAATATTGCATCGTCTGTATATAGTACGGGCTTGGATTATAGATAATCGCATTGGCGGGCTGCTCAGTCTGAGGTCAGGTGATGCAATCACGGAACATAGCGTGCTGTTTGTGCTGCTCAAACCATACCCGGGCGCGGAGGGGTTGGTCTCCGGATACCGGGCCTGAAACTGCGGCATGACGAGGATGAGGGAGACGACGCCTTGGTCTGCATTCGTCAGGAGACATATACAATATAAGTAATTAGCAGGCTCATACCATATCCATACGAAAATCCACCCATGGACGCCAGCAGCGTCGCGCCAAAGACATAGGGCGATTTGAGCATTCCTTTCGCGCCAGAGTAGCCATAGTGCACTTCTTCCGCGTAGAGGGTGGGGGTTTCTTTGGAGACGATTTCTTCGTGCGTGGTTGTTGGCGTGAGGGGGTTAGCGTTGGGGTCTTTGTCTTTTTCTGCCATTTTCGTTGTCTACCTAGGTTTGAATAAAGTGTATAGCAATGTACTGCTCAGTTCGAGGACAGCTATTCTGCGTGAAGATAGAGAAGCACGTATGGAAAGAGTAATTGAGGTATGGGAGAAATGGATTTATTTTTATTTACTGAATTGAATTGAAACAAGACCATACAATGGATCATGTCTGCCATGTGGGGAGGGAGCACGCGATATAAAATAACGTCCTGACTGTAGTATAATTTACCTACCTACCTAGCTAGCTGGATACATTTGTATCCCCCCAGAGGGATACATCCATCTCCCGTGCCACATGGAGTAGTCATCTCGGGCCAGCAACTTTGGTCCAAGCTTCTTTCCATTCCAGTCTTGCTTCTGAGCAAAGTTTCCCGTTTGAGACAATCAACTAAATCGAACATCCTAGCGTGCGCTAATAATTACTGAATTTAGGTAGATAGGCGGAGGCTTTCCCCGGACTCTATTACCCCGGACCCCGGGATAAATAAGGTTCTTAACCCGCATTTTATTGATGAATGTTGTCGATCTAGCCTTTTTCAGTATTGACACTCTTAGGTAGGGCTAGGTAGGTCACACTACGGTTGAGATTTCTGCGACGGCCGTCCCATTTCCTCTTCTGGATCTGGCCGCTTTAATGAGGGCGCTCGGGAGTTGCGCAGTGAGTGCTCAGTAAGTATACCAGAGCACTCACTGAGTAATCACTGAGCATTACGTGATTCAGCTCAGCAGCTCACCTGGTCTTTATATTGCCTTATGGCCACATTTGAAGGTTTATATGATACCTTCCTAACGTCCCACCCGCCTTTTTGCGATGGGCTCACAAAATGAGGGACAAAGAATATGTGCATTTGAAACCCTTATTACTGTAGTAAGAAAAGGCAGACTAATAGAAAATAAGGAGACTAATTCACTGGTCCTACTAGATTAGGGACTATCCTTAGATTCTTGTAGGCATTATATAGAGATGCTACCTATCTCCCTTACTAGTATCCTTCTTCTGTAAATTACTCTTGCTTATTTTGGCATATATAGAGTAATTGCTTATAAGTCATTATATATATCTTTTTTTACTATAATACCCTCTGAGTTATTTTTGCATTATTATTATAATCTATGGCCTAGAGGGATATAGTACTATCAATAAAGAAATCTTAGCTAAAGCAGGAAAGATAAAAACAAAGAGCTCTTTATAAAAACAAGAATTATAATAGAGAAACATGTTAAGAATAGGATACTATTTAGAATAGAAATAAATATACAAAGGAAAGCAAGAGATTATAGAATAATACCATGCAATTTATAAAGAGTAGGTATTTACTATCTGTAGTTATCCTCTATCTTTGACTTTTATATATATATATGCTAAACTAACCTGGCAGGTTCTTAACTAAAAAGAAAGATTAGCTAAAAAAAGAGGATCTCTAGATAGGATAACTGGCACTAATAACACCATCTTCTAGTACCTTGTGTGACGGCACAGTTGTTGTAATAACTATCGTATGTGAGTCGCCCCTTGAATTGTGTGAAGCTATCTAAGGCGGTGACAGACGGCAGTATATGGCAGAGGCCGATACTGCGACATTGCCACCACGAAGAAATGCTGCGCCCTCGCTGCAGATATCTAAATGCAATACATACAATATCGGCCTATTTTCTGACCTATCAGAGGCCTCCATTTAGAATTAATCCACCGCTAAGCACGGGACGCCTCAAACTCCTTGATCAATTCTTCTGCGCCCACCAAATTCCTCTCATGAAGCCACTGGTCCCCTGCGGCTGTATACCCTTTCCAACGCACAAGATAGTGTGTAGTAGGCGTCTTACTGCGACCGTAGCAGCGTGTTCTCTTGTCAAGAATGACTTCAACCTCGTAGCGATCAGTATCTTCAGGAAAGCGCTCATCCAGCACCGCACCTGGCTCTGTAGCTGTTCGTCCGTAGGGATCGGGTCCTTTGGGAGCAGGTTCAAGATGCGCAACACTGATGACCGGATGGATTCTCCATGTAGCCGGGATATCAAGGCGATAGGCAAGCTTACCCACTCGCTCAAGAACCTTGAAAGGTCCCGCACGCTTGTCTCGCACCTTCTTGGCAGCAATAGCGTTGGCTGGGATGTCATAGCCATCACCAAGGCAGAGATAAACCTCATTACCAACTGCGAAATGAACATCCTTATGATGGGAGTCGTAGATACGCTTCATCCGTATCATCGCCCAATTGAGACTCTCCTTCGCGTCATCTCTGGATGCAAAATCCTGCTTGAATGCTGAGCGAAGCATGTTCCACGGTGTACGCAGCTTCATACCGTACATTAGAACATGAGGTTCAACTCCGGTCGAGATGTTAACTGAGCCGTTTAGTGTTGCTTGAAAGGATGGTAAGGCCTGTTCCCAATCCTTATCAGGATGCGTAGCAGCCCAATGGCGTACCATGATACCAACGGTGAGATTAGTACGTTCCGATTGACCATCAGTTTGTTGGTGATAAGCAGTGGCGTACAGCATCTGTACTCCGAGTCCTTGGAAAATAGATGTCCATAGAGCACTCAGGAACTTGCGATCACGATCACATATAATGACAACAGGCACTCCCCAATCAGCGCGTTGCCAGAAATCTACTAACGCAATAGCCCAATCTTCTGCAGACCATGTAGCTTTACCTGCAATGAGGCCAATCTGCTTTGTAAACTTGTCAGTCTGTGATAAGATCGCGTCATTGCCACCCTTGGAGACAGGAAGGCCAAGAATGAAGTCAATTGTGAGCGTGTGATAGGGAATTGGCGGCGAGAGGATGGGCTGCAATGAACCGTACGGCTTGTGAGTGCGGGGGGCGTTTATAAGGCACTCAGGGCAATGTTTGATATATTCCCGGAGACGAGAAACACCCTTGTAGATTGCATACCCTCGCATCTTCGCATACGCGCGATCAAAACCTTGATGTCCCTGATCATCATGAACCATGCGGAAGATCTCCTGCGCCACGCTATACGGAATATAGAGCCACCAATCATCTGCGTTTCGTAAGGAGTATAGAAGGCCATCTTCTTCCTTGTATGGTAAGACTGTCTTAATTGGATCATCGGTTGGAGCTCGAAGCATATCAAGGATGGCCTTTGCGCGATGATCCTCCAGATACGCGTCCTTCAAGCGGTTTTTGAATCCATCACTCAATTCAACAACAGATAGGATCAAGGCGTAAGATTCATCTTCAACAGTGACGTACAACACATCAAGATCAGGCTCTGAGGACGGCGTCATATCCGCAGCGGGCAACCGAGAGAGGGCGTCTGCCACCACGTTTTCTTTGCCTGGCTTGTGGTAGATAAGAAGATTGAATTGCTGAATGTACTGTGAAGCTCGTACAAGGCGTAGATTCAGGCGATCTGTGGAGCTCGACGTCAATGAAGATTGTTTCGCAATACTGATCGTGGCACTGTGATCAGTATAGATCACGGGAAGCAGGTCACAAGGTGCTGCTTCAACTAAGTGTCGTATTTTCCGTAGCACCCAGATGAGGCTAGAAACTTCGAGCTCTGTAGGCCAGTAATGTCGCTCAGCCGGTGTCAGCGTACGACTAAAAAACATGATGGGCTCCATCATTGCGCGGGGAGGCGGCTTCTTCAATTCTGCATGATCGTATTCCTTCTTGACATGATAGACCACTGCGCCATGGCCACGCTCCTTAGAGGAATCTAGCTCCATATACAGTCTCCGTTCGCGATCATGATGTGCTAGCCACTTAGGCCGAGCGAATTCAGCTTGCAGCTGCATAAAAGAGTCAAGCTCATCAGATGTAGGGTCAAGATATGCTGTACGTGCTGCAAAACGTTGGCGGGGAGCACCTTTGACCGGACTGCCTTTCAGCAAACGAGCCTTGCGATCCTGAAGCGGGGCGGATTTCTGCGCAAAATGGGCAATATAGTGACGAAGAGCGCCAGTCATGCCGAGATACGTCTCCAGCTCTTTCAGTGAACGCGGGAAAGAGAGGCTCGTGATAGCTTTGAGCTTTTCTTCAACTGTAGACATGCCCAGGGCATCTACACGTTGGCCAAGCAGCTGAACATTTGGAAAACCAATGTACGACTTGTCTGGTGAGATAGAGATGTTCAAATCTGTCAGCTTCTGAAAAAGCATATGGAGATGCTGGATGTGATCATCTAAGGTGCGAGAAGCAATGACAATATCATTAATATAAGCCCTGCAAAACATAGCCAATTCTTTGAGATGTAGATCCATTTGTCTCTGCACGTATGCCACAGCGTTGCAGTTTCCCATAATACAGACGTTGAAAATCTCTTGTCCCCGATGAGATATAACTGCGATACGATTGCGGTGCGCAGGTTTGACACGCCATTGATAGTAGAACTTTGTAGCATCGATGACCGAGATGTAATGACAGCCGTTTGTGAGCTTAATAATGTCCTCCTGTGTTGGAACGGGATAGCAGTCATGCTCAACAATCTTCTTAAGGTTGCGTAGGTCTACTACTGCACGACCTTTGCGAATTACCTTGCCGTCAGGTTTGATGACGTCTTTCCAAACCACGAAGACTGGAAAACAGGTAGGTGTGTGGCCTGTAGCCCACTCCATACGGCCTTTATGGTGAAGCTCATCAAATGTCTCGTCCACCACTTCGCGATCCTTCGGGCCGAGGTGATAGACACGGCTTTTAGGCACTTTGCTTTCCCAGCCTTCCACAAGTGGGATCTCCATCCATTGGTCCTCTGGGATATTCACAAACCCTTCATTTTCTCCCCAAATGGCATACGCTTCCACAACCTGTTTCAACGCGGCCACCGTTATATGATCCCCGTAGACAGTAATACCGTTAGGGAGCTTTGTTTCAAGATGCAGCGGCGCGGAAGGTACAGAGATATTAGGTCGTTCAAAAGGGGCAGGCTCAGCGGCTAATCGTGCGAGATTGGCGGCATCGGGAGACACCTGATATGCAGTAGTGAAAGTGGCATCCTCAAGCGTTCCAATACGTTCATGGCGAGCAAAAGTGACAGGTGCATCTTCATCATTCCGTGCAATGACAAATGAAAAATTAGAATCAACCACATGATTATAAAGGGCCTTAGTGCGTGATTCTGGGGTGAACATATAGTCACGATCGTCAGGCAGCTCTGACTTGACTTTGATAGGAACCTTAAGAGATGAACGGGGAGGAATGATGACAACAGTTCCGAGGCTTGAACATTCCACGTTTCCCCCTTGTGATAACAGGGTTTGGATCCGGGGCTCGTAGTGGGAGGGCGGCTGAAAGCGACGTGTAATGGACTAAACCGCCTACATACTTTGCATGTACAGTAGTCTAAACTCCCGCAAGCTGCAGGACGCATAAATTTCCGGGATTAGCGCCATACTACTAGCATAGATCACTTCCTTCCAACTGAATGGACTTGCTCTAGGCCACTATCCGCATTCTGCGCGGGGTCTCATCCTTTTCTTCGCTGCCGGATAATCTCGGCCCCTGGCTGAAGTGGACAGGAGTTTTTCTCCCCTCGCACTCGTTGCATGAACGACGGCTAGCATCGTGATTTTTGAGATGGTCAGACGCAAACGCCACAGCGGTGAGCGCTAACATTGTCAGATGCTACAATATCACAGTCTAAGAGGCCAGCGCTCGAGGCGGGCGTACGCGAATGTCACCTTGTGTCGGCCCATGACCTCCAACCGCTACTGGGTAAACGAGGACATGACGGAGATATACTCTTCAGTGTCCGAAGGTTGGAAATTGGAATGCTGTCTCTCGGAAATCCACTGTAGACAAGGCACCCTATCCCTAGGGATTCCATGGGTCTACTTCAGCTGCACTCATATTAAAATAATTCCATTGGCATTGGAGAGCTCCGTTCTACCATTTGATCTGGCATTGACTCACCATGGTTTCGTTCGTAAAATGGACGCTCAGCGTCCTTTTGCTCTTTCTATGTCTCTTTGGTGATTGTTGGATCACTCCGTTAGACAGTCCGGCCACCACGCCCGCGTTGTCTGGATGGCGGTTGACGAATCGGGCGTTGCTTGCACGCCAGTTAGTTTTGCTGCAAAAGAAATATATGGTTGATTTAGAGACTGACGAGAGCACAGGGATTCGGACTCCTGCACTGCCTATCTCGACGACCCTGACGTGCCCGATTGCGGGCCTCTTTGCGGCCCTTCTAACCTGGCATGTACCCAAGCGCCCCTGGATAAGCGCAACCGGAGAATCTTCTTTGGACCGGAACCAGGGGCGTGGAATGAAACAGACCCTTCACCAGAAGAGCTCAAAACACTGCAGAAGAGAACGATCACTCCTCTTCTGCAGAACCAACTCGCGGATTACCTTATTGATCAATTTCAAGGCAACCCTGACCCCTACTTCGGCACTCCATCAAGTATCGCAGATCCGTCTGATAACGTGGTCAGGCAAGAGTTGTTCGGAAATACACCGTTTCAAGTGGGCACGAATGGCCTCTGCGGATGCACCGTTGTCACAGTGGTGTCGACGCGAGCGGTCTACATGGTCAGCTCACTGCGCTCATGTCTGTTCTTTCTTTGTTTGTTTGGATTTGAATAACTGATTTACTTTTTGTCGTGATGTATAGGGTCATTTCTTCGAAGTCCCGTCGTGGTCGAGTTCTGCATCGGTGTTCAAGCAACGGGTACTTAATTTCTTCAGCGGCGGCGGCCAAGTTGGACAGGGTCCAGCAATGAATCCAGACCTCTTCACTGCCAATGATGACACTCGTGTCTACGTGATGACGCCCCGTTCGGCCCGGGGCAATTACCAGAATTACCAAAATTCGAACTATTACGGCAAAGTCCCTCGACTCCTGAACACCATTCGAACAGCTCTGGGAAATCAGGATGTGCCCATTGCTGTGTGGAATTACATCCCATTGGAATGTGAGATAGACGGCGAGACAAACGATGAGCTCTTCGAAAGTGAGAGGGGTGTTGCGCTTTTCCAATTCGACCCGGATGCATTCGGCAGTGGAGTACGAGGGTGGAGGATCCTGTATGAAGCACTCCAGTTCTTGTCCACTGATCCAGCACCGGGTGCAGAATCCGCTAGCGGCGTGCCGGATCCCTAGTTTGCTGGTGGGACGTACCCTGGATTAGTGATGAAGTCTAATGCAGGAATCCGACGGACGAATGAGTTGGTATTGGTCATGGTCAGCAGCGGACTAGCAAGCAAAGAGACGTAGGGAATCGTTCGCAGGTGACCGATCTGTTGGATGAGTTTGAAACATATTTGGCAAATAGGAAAATATAAATATTTTTCTTTAAAATAAGTACAATTCGCAGTCTCAAAGTATTTGTGAATTTGATATATCACAGAAACTCGCGTTCCAGACCTTCTCTCGTGTGCTGACGAAGGTCGACCGAGGACTTGAAAGGCTGGAGTCTGAGAGTCGCAAGTCAAGGGTGTGACCCGTATCAAACGCATATCAAGTCACCAACCAGGTGTCTCGAAGTTTGGCAAATCGAACCGTCTCATTGATGCAGGTCCCATGCAAGATTCGAGACTTGCCCCAAAATCATCGTCACTGCATGTGCGTGATACAGAATTTGCAGACTTCGCGGAAAAGGCAACCAAGGAGATCAATCGAGCACCAATTCAAAATCGAAACCGTGCTGTCGGAAGCCCATGAAACCTTTCCGTAATTCTCTGATTAGTCCCTCTGTCACCATCAATCGAGTCTAATTCAACCTCATCGGATCCTTCGATATCTCTTCTCGCTAGGATGGTGGTGGTCTACGCGCGTTAGTTTATCGGGGTATGGGATAATGTAGGTGATGAAAAGAAATGGGGGAAAGACGAGAGAGGGGAGGGAGTTGGGACGGTTGGAAGAAGTCAAGGATTGGAGACTAACATTGAGGTCAACTATGTGAAGACAACTCAGACGACATCCTCCCTTTTCTTTGTCTATCAAGTCCCAGATCTTCCGAGCGGCCTCATCAAGTGGAAGATCCGATCTTCCATTGTCGACGTCCAATGCAAGTTCGCGAAGACGATGAAGATTCGGACAAACGTCGGAGAGGTCGCATTCGTCCGGAGCAAGGACACCGGGATATGGGATAGAAATCCTCAGATGTTCCAACAGTGGGCAATGAGACTCAATTTTCCGGACCTCCTCTGAGCGAATCGTTGAAAGTGAAGGCTGTGGGCCATAGACATGTTTATAGGGATGCAAGGCCAGTCTGCGCAGTGTCGGGCCATGTCGCTGGAGAATCCTGTCAAGCACAGAGGCCGTCAGATACCCTGCCAAGCGAACTTCTTTTAGAGGCTCTAGGTGCTCCATGAGAGACTCCAATTCAGAGACTAACAAGTCCCGATTATTAGTGGTCGGTTTTAAACCCATATCGAGCGTCTCGAGAGATGCGAACCTCACGTTCTGCGTCATGTAACCGAACACCAGAGGATCCGACACGTCTCCCAGCATTAAATAGCGGATCTTGGACAGGTCGGTGTACTTTGGCCACTCCCGTATGTCATCCAATTTCATGCCCCGATTCCCAAAATACGTGAGCGAGGTGAGTGCACCTTTATTGGAGACCTTCAAAGGCGGCACGAATCCTTTCCAGGGCACCCGCGGCCTGTTACGGGCGCGCAGTAGCTGAGGGGATGCTCCTGAGCGAGGTCTTACTATGTTAAGATGCCTGAGATTTGGGGCCAGTGCGACAACCTGAAAAATGGCACTCCTGTTATAATCGACATTGCCGTTTGAATCGACCCCGACCGTTTTTACGCTGATACTGTGCAAACGGGGCGATCGGATCAGGTCTAGCTCGTGCGGATCGGTGACGGAGTCCCCAAGGCTACGAAGACGGAAGGACCGCATGTCTAGTCGGCAGGATGGATGGTACTGGTCAATAGTCTGTAATAAACACGGCGGCAGCTGATTCCGGCAAACCCAGATAAGGTCGGTGATATGCTTGCATTTCTGAATCACCAAAGCGAGAGGATTCCAGGCCTCGGAGACTTCCTCTGCTGACCCATCAGGCAGATCAACCGTAAAAACGCCCCCGAACTCCGCGTCATACTCCTCTGAATGGGCAGGTTCGGCAGCCAATTCCTCCCGATCGGAAGAGGGGGAGCCTGCTGTATCCTCTTCTTCGGCCAGTAAGGGCATACGGCCCCAGACCTTGAGACACCGAGCATGAATCAAGAACTTTTTGCGGAAAGGATTTTCTTCGAGTTCGGCAGAGTCCTCGCGGAGTTTTTGGCGAGAGGAGATTTGGAGTGCTAGATTTCGGTAAAGGAATGGAACGGCAGCATGATAACACGCCTTGTTCACTAGTGATAAACTTCGCAGAGTTTTAGGCGATGAGAGATAGATCTGTGGGACATGAGCAATAGAAATCATCGCATATAGAAGACATCCCGTACATCGTCAAAGATCAAGGACAGAACGAGTGTCGGCAGCTCGTCAAGTTTGGGAATCATTTTACCCGAAGACTGTATTGACAAACTGTATGGGGGTCTTTCAATGCAATAAAGCTTCAACGAACGAAACAAGAAGAACAAAATGATTCTTAGAACTTTAAATATGTAGTGAGGCAGATATTATCTATATTCTCGGCGTAAGGCTGCTGAGAGATCAGTGGGGAAATAGATGAAGCCTATCTAGGCATAGAAGATCAATATATTCTTGCTCCCTCTGGAGGAGAAAAGAAGAACTGACTAGGAGCCGACATTGAGGTCGGCTCTATAGCTGCATGGCTAGTTTGGCAGTCACATAGTAACTAACAGCTAAATTATTCAGGCCTAGCAGCTGCCTGGATGCCATATGGGTCAGGCACCAACAATTGGGATATAGTCTTAGTGCGATGTGAAGGGCTTTGCAGGATGTGGAGTGACAGCCAATGACGAGCTCTCTTAGCCGCCGGTGGAGACTCGGTCCGTCTTGTCGCCGGGCAACTAGTTCCCCAGATATTGTGGTTACTCCAGCACTCTGTTTCCGTTTAAACGGTCAAGTGGTTATGAAAGGCTGTCGGACTATATTGCTAGCTAGAGCGGTTGAAATTGATTGCGCTAGAGTGGAAAGTTGGAAACTGATTGCATTAGAGCGGTTGGACATGAATGGTCGAAGGCAACTAGTTGTTGTGGACCGACAGGGTTGGAAGCAGTTGGAAGGTATCTATATCAGTAAATCAAATCAAGAGAGCTAAGACCAGTTAACAAACAGAAGCAATTTCCCCACATCTGGTTAAAGGGCAAAGCAGTGCAAAGCACAAGATACCAGCCTGATTTCTACAGTATGGACTCATTACCACTATGCATGATTATCTTTAACGGCAGTAACGGCGGGGATACTTTTTAATTGAACCAACAATTCTGCTTGAAATTATCCATCAGACCTACTGGGTTACAGCAAGAAAGTGAGGGACTTTTCCCTGTTTCTCTTTAGAATATGCTAGTTAAAATACAAGGGCATTAAAGAGCAATGGCAGGTGGGGGCCAAGTAACGCAGCTAGGTAAGACTATAATCTTGGCACCTAATATTTTATTGGGTTCACATGATTGTCCTATGCTCGTCCTTGCTCAGTAAGCAGCTTAGGAAGCTCCAAGATTGCTCAGGCTGTGCTCAGGTCTGCTCAGTGAGACAAAAGCGGCGCTCCCTAAGCACTAAAGCGGAAGTGCAAAGCGCCGAATGTCTCGCAGAAATCTCACGGATAGGTCAAAATATCGTATAAAAATCTGCGAACTGCTCTTCCCTACCTGACTTGGACACTGCCGCTTTAACGGGGTGAGCAGGGTGAGTCAGGTGAGCGACTCACGCGATCGAGGTGATTCACTCACCCAGGCTCTTTTATACTCACCCCATTCTCACCCATCTCCCCTAAATGCTCGCACCGGTTGTTTAGCAACATCAAACCAAGGAACTATGCAGAGGACAGATTGGAAAACGATGGTAGTAGTGGGTCGTCCCCTACAACCTCCAGGGAGAAAAAAAGTTAATAGCAAAAATGATGGTCTTCGCCCCTCTGTGTCTGTTTCTGGTCTTATCTTTATTTTTCTTCTCTTCTATATTGTTGTAATCCTACAGACATCTTTCTGTATTTTTCTACCTATAGAATTTGCCTTTTTTTTTGTCTCGCTATTGGTGAAAATTTGTTGAAATGCTAAAGACAAAGTTGGATAGACTTGCTTGTGCAAAAACAAATGGATACAAAAGGTGCACATAACAAGAGAAGGACAGTGTGAGAGCCAAAAATAAGTATTCAGATCACTCCATCAAACTTCAGAACAGAGTCCTGGCAGACTATAAAATGTAATGTTCAATCCACTTTCTTTTCTGCTACCTACTAATTATACTGAATAGATGGGCATCAGAGGATAGTGATATGAATAAAGAAGACTATCTCTGTGAAGGGCAATCTACACCATATTTAACCACTATTAAAGATACATAAACTCTACCAAAGGAATACTCTCTACCTGACCATATTCTCTATACTAAATTTTGCCAAATAATTCTTTGCTGGGTTTCTTTATATTATAAAAACTATATTAATAAAAAAGGATACAGATGACATTCATTATATAAGTGGTTTTAAATAAGTTGCTTTTATACTATATACTAATAACAAGTAGATTAGGCATACTCCTATTAAGGAAGAGGTCATTAAGAACAAGAAATATGCCAAGTACATATTTATATATTATGACCTAACTAATATTATTGTTTCCTTATAGACCAACAATGATCCACTCTTCATTTATGAGTGACACAGGATTCAGATGACATTTGCTCTCTTAATATACTACTATTCTAATATAAGAGTCTCTCACTGACCTGGTTTGCTTGCTTGCTTCACTGGCCGAGCCAAGTTTTTTTTTTTGACCGCAGAAAGAAGGTGAACTCCCTAATATGTATGAAATATGTAGCTCTAATAAAGATCCGTCAAAGGTAGTTACTGTATAAGCAAGAAGATTACCTAATCGATCTGCCATAATAATAAAAAAATAAGATTCACTTCCTGGGTAAGAGACAAGACATGAATAGTTACTAAAGCCAGAGGAACATACCTACTGGAAGCTATGCTAGGTATATTAATACTTATCTCAAGACAAGCCCTCTACTACTACTTTCTATCCTTGTTAGATCTCTAGTAATTGGTGTGGGTGGGTGATTGATTGATTGATTGATTTTATTATCTATCCATCTAATCTACTCTACTCTGGTTATCAGCTTCAAGAATGCTTTCGAGGTTCGATGGTTTTGTATGGTGTTAATACAGTTCGAAGAAATGAAATGAAACAAAAAAAGAGAGGGCGAGAGAGAGTCAGTTGAAGGCAAGAAGAGGGAGAATATATGTATTATGTAGGAAATGATGAAATAATTGTAATTGGTAATGTCTTAATAGAAACAAACCGAAAGGAATGTTGGCGCGTGTGTAATGAAAAAGAAATCCATCTGTCAATCTGAAGACCGAACGAAGTCAGTAGACAATCTCAGAGTCCGTGAATGGTCATCGAAGATAACCACATCTAAACCTTCCAATCAGGCTTGCGGTGAAGCACCTGCTTCACCTTCTCAACAGGCAGAACTCTCGACACATTAACCCAAATCCGTGAACCGACCCCCCGAGAACGCAGCCAGTAAACCGCGAAGAAGAGGACGGTGTTGAAGACGGTGAACGCACATAGATAGCCGAAATCGCGCCAGCGGTCCTCGTAGAACATGTTCACGCCCGCCAGATACGCGTCCGACACCGCGTACCGACAGAACTGGCAATTTGCAGTGGCGTCCGGGTTGTAAATCGACGCGAGGGCTTCGCGTGCAAAGACCCCCGCATATTCTCCGCAGGTCATCCCCGCAGGCGGGTTGAAGATGTTGATTTCCGGCTCCGCGCATCGGACAGGAACCCCATGCGTTGCGGTGGACATCAGCGAGGAAACGAGGTACGTAAACGGCGACACGTAGTAGGCAAAGTGCCAGAATCCGACGAGCTGCGAGAGCGGCTGGACGACGCCGGTGAAGGCGAGGATGAACGTGTAGAAGAGGATCGTCAGCATGGCCGCCGTCTCGGCATCTGGGGCCACGATGGCCAGGCTCTGCGAGAAGCTCGTGTGGTACAGCTGGTAGAGCATGAAGACAAACCACATCGAGGCGCCCCGGCCGTCGGAGATGTCGCGCCACCAGCCGATAGGGAAATACCAACAGATGAAGCAGACCGAGGCAATGATGATGTTGAACGGGATCTCCGCCACGATGCTGCCGACCACGAACACGGTCCAGTGGTACATCTTGGAATGCCGCTCGCGCACTTCGTACAGCTCCCGGTACTGGATCAGCCGCGGCTGCAGCTGCACGATGATCACGAGCGAGAGCAGGAGGAGCATGAACACAGAGAAGGTCTTGTTCTGGAGGCCCGCGACCGAGTTGGGTTCCTTGTAGAAGGTAAATCCGAGGAACAACCCGCCTGCCAGGTTGATGAACACCTTGCTCCAGATATAGACTGGACTGCGCCAGTACTGCTGGAATAGACGCCGCTGCACCGCCAGGTACTGATGCAACCAGGGCATGGCATATCCACTCGATGTGTCGGCAGTGTCAGTGTTTTCCCCAGCCGGGCTGCCCTCCTGGTGCGTCGAGTTCAGTTTCTCGATTTCCACCGAGACGTGCTGGAATTCCGGGCTCGACTTCCAGACTTCAGCCCAGTCCCGTTCCTCGTGGGCTGTCGCTCCGGCTCCGATTGTGTCCAGGATGTACTCGGCGGGATTGGCATTCTCGGGACAAGATGGGGCTCCGTTCCTCTCAAAGTATTGGATCACCGTGCTGGCGTTGGGGCCAATGTCGCCAAAATAGACGGTCTTTCCACCTTTGGCAAGCAGCAGCAGACGGTCGAACTGCTCAAACAGCATGGAAGAGGGCTGGTGGATGGTACAGAGAATGGCCTGGCCGGCATTGGCCATGTCTCGCAAGAACTTCACAATGGACCAAGCGGACTGGGAGTCAAGTCCGGATGTCGGCTCATCCAAGAACAGTAGGAGAGTTGGTTTAGCAACGAGCTCCAGCCCAATTGTTGTCCTCTTGCGCTGCTCCACGTTCAGTCCCTGGCCAGGCACGCCGATGACAGCATCTGCGTACTCCTGCATGCCCAAAGCGGCAATGATCTTTTCTACATAGTCATATTTCTCCTGCACGGGAACTTCCTTTGGCTGGCGTAGCAGAGCGGAGAATCGAAGGGCTTCCCGAACGGTAGATTCGGCGAGGTGGATGTCCTGCTGTTGAACATAACCTGTTTCCTGCTGGAATGAGCGGCCCAGTGGAGATCCATTGACCAGCATGTTGCCAGTGATTACCCCCACCGAGATCCGCTGTGCGAGGACGTTAAGCAAGGTCGTCTTCCCGGCGCCGGATTCTCCCATCAAGGCCGTCAGGGTCCCGGGCTTCACATACCCTTGAACGTCGGACAGCAAACGGCGTGTCTCTCCTTTGAGCTCGATATCGTAGTTGACGTGCTTCCACGTAAAGACCTTTTCGCCCCGGGCGACAGCATCCATCAGAGCTTCCTGTTGTTGACCGACTGCCACAAATTCATTGGCCCGGTCCTCCACGTCATCCTCTTTAGGAACACGCTTTGCGGAGGGCAGCCTGGGATGATGAAAGACCAGCGAGTCACCCTTCGAGGCCGGTGGGTTTTTGAATTCTGTAGCAGCCGCATATGTGGCCACAAAAAACACGAAAAACGCGATGCATATCCCCAGATTCCTCCAAAGGTGGGAATAAGAATAGGAGAATGAAAGCTCCACGTAGTCGTCTCCCGACACGTACAGCTGTCCAGGACGGGCCCCGGTGACGGCGCAGACCTGGTTCAACACGCTCGTGTGTTCATAGCCTGGTCCAGATGGCACCAGCGTGTTGCATAACGCGTTTCTCCCGTGGAACTCGACAACCATCAGGGCCTCGATCGCGTAATATATTGGGTTGAGGTAGCTGATCCATTTGAACCACGGATGCATGGATGGCCGGGGAATGATATAGCCGGCATAGATGCCCAAGAGCAGCAGCAGAACGCCCGCGGTGGCCAGGGCCGTTTCCGCCCGGTTCGCGAGAGCAGCGATCGTCCGAAACAGGGCGCTCATCATTACAGATACCAGGAAGGTAAAGAGCACAAAGAGAAAGAACGGACCGGGCTCGCGCTTGAAATTGGCTAGGAAGTAGATGATGACGCTGAAGACTCCCACGTTGAGCAGCTTGATCGGATACTGCACCACCATGGAGGCAAGCGCGTCGATGAACGGATGGTACATGGCATAGGATTTGTGTTTCTCCACGATCGGTCGCTGTGAGAACTGTGCGCTGATTTCGGCAAAGTTGACGAGGATGTTGAAGAGTACAGAAAAGAAGATTGCGCCGCCTTTGGAGAAAAACCCGCTGGTGTCCTCGGGGATGTCGTAGAACATGGACCCGATGACCAGGGCGACGACGGCCATGGTGACGACGATAGAGAGTGTGTATGCCTTGTCGCCAAGGATGCGTTGATAGGCGCGGATATAGGTCGCCATGAACTGCCTTCCCAGATTGAGCATGTACGGGGAACGGCTCCTGGTCCACGAGGTCTTCTCTGCAGCCTGTGCGGACTTGAAATTCTGCAGCGCATCGGAGCAGCCTCGCGGGTACTGCTTTTCGTGCTCCTCGATCTCCGCCATCAGCCTCTGGTAGTAGACGCTCTCCTTCCAACGCGAGACAAATTCCTCCGGAGTCCGAGGAACACGCTCTTCGAAGCCGGATCTCACTTGCCGAGCAACAGGGTCGGTGATGGAGGTGAGAAACTCGGCCGTCGTCTCGCGGGGACCGCAGAGAAAGCCCATGTCTTGGAAGAAGCGCTTTGCGTCACTGAGATCGCCGAACCAGATCTGGTGACCGGCGTAAAGGATCGTGACTTTGTCGTAGATCTCGACGAGTGAGTCTCCTGGCTGGTACAGCGCGGTCACTGCGACATGGCCGGTCAGGTTGGTTGCCACGCGCAGGGCACGGGCAAATTCGAGCGAGGTGGATGAGTCCAAGCCTCGCGTCGGGTTATCCCAATATGTCACCGAAGCACGAGTGGCCAGCTAATAAAACGTCCAGATTAGACTTGTGATTCCAGTAAAGACGAAGACAAAGGCGGGACGAACCATTTCTGCAATCGAGACTCTTTTCCTCTCTCCACCGGACACCCCACGGACAAAGTCGTTTCCAACCCTGGTGTTGAAGGTATGCCTCAAACCAAAGGTAGCACCCAGGATGTTTCTCATCTTCTCGATGTACTCGTCGCGGGAGAGGTGGCCGATCCTCTGCTTCGGGGTCTTGGTCTTGAGGGCGAACTCCAGCGTCTGGGCAACGGTCAGGTATGGGAAATGGTTCTCAACCTCGGCATTGTACACGACTTTCCCGCGGAAACGCTCTTTCACGATGTCGATTGGGACGCCGCTGTACGTGATGTCGCCAGCCCAGTGGGAGTAGCCTTCGGTCAGGCCGGCGAGAGTTTTCAGCAGCGTCGAGCACCCACTCCCCGGACGGCCCAGCACCAGCAGCATCTCCCCTTCTTTGACCAGGCCATTGATTCCGTGAAGGATCTCCCGCTGCGGGCCCTTTCCGAGAATGCCACTGACGGCTCGAAAGAGATCCAGGAAGACCGACAATACATCTGACTGGGACGTTGTGACGGCGCCCTCTCCATGGACTTCAACGTTTCGCCATCTGACTGACGTGCTGGGAGAAATGGGAGCCACATCTTCATCGCTCGAACGCTTCAGGACGGCTCTGAGGGTTTTCTCGAGCGTCCAAGCGGGGTAGTCGGTGTCGAACGGATCGTCACTGTCGGACGCTCTCGTGCTGCGTCTTGAAAGTGCGTGGACGAGCTCTGCAAATTGCTGGGGAGACTCGTTGATTCCATCGTCAAGTTGCGTAACGGAAGTCTGCTGACTATCTATCTGCAAGCTCCCAACGCTTCCAGGATGGGATTTCTCGGCGTCCATGGTCCCTAGCGGACGTCAACAACCTCGTTCCAGCTATGGAATTATGTGGGATGGCCCTCAGTAGATGTTCAGGCAAAAATGAAAGGGGATAACCATCAGCACTTACCTCACTCACGACGAAATCTGAATCGATCTGAAGGAAAAAGCTGACCGGTGTCAAATAGCTGCAATTGGGAAAGATAGCTAGGCTAATCGCGGTTTATATGACGGAGAGATCTGCTGGTCGCGTTTGCGGCAGCCGTGTCTCGGCCATCGGAGTTTTCGGTTGACATATTTGAGAGAAATTCACTCCCTTGACAGGGTCCCGAGACCCGGGTCCTCGACAGTTTTGCAACATGGAAGCTGGGTCTCTCATATCGAGGTTGATGGAGGTTGCTTGGTACATACTCTGTTCGGCATCCAATGACAGCCCTGGATTCTCCTTCGGTTCCGAATGGTCTTTCGGCACCGAGCTTTCGGTACCGAACGCTTGAACCATAGTATTATTTCTCTCCTGCATTCCGGCACTTTTTCCATTGCTGTTTCTCTTTCTTTGCCCTCCGGATATTCGGTACTGATAGAAATGACGGAACCGCCGGCGATGCGGCTTTCCAAGACTTGCGATGCCTGTAAGGCTCGCAAAGTCCGCTGCACCAGTATGTTCGGAACTCCGGTTGCAGCAGTTCCGTGCTGATGGCTCGCGTCTAGGATCCAGTGAGGCGGAACAGTCTGCATGTCACAATTGCATTGTACCGTGCATCCCTACCTGGACAGCTTTTTTAACCGAGCTCGTGCTGACATCGATCCATTCGAACAGTCACGAAAAGAGCTGTGTCACTACAGCTATGCCAAGCCGCCCCGAAAGCGCAAGCAACCGTCTGACGAGGCTGACGAGAATGAAGGTAGAGACTTCCTGTCTGGAACGAAAGGCTCGATTGCTTACCAGACGATCTAGGGTCACATGGACTGAGTTCTGAGACTGTTGCCAAATGGCAGGCAACTCCATCGACACGAGATGGAGATAGGACCCCGTGCTCAACGACGGTAGTGATCGGTCAGGAGTTGAGTTCCTCAAATGGACATCTTGGCTCCGTCAGCCATGGAGAAGCTGAATGCCGCATGTCTTTTTCCGGCGGCAATGGCAACAGGTGTGTTGGCGAGAAAACAGCGTCGTCAGAACAGTCTCTATCTCCTAAGCTCTACGTCGACCTTCTCCTCGCAGACCGTCAGACACCTGCCAAGCGCAGAGACGAGAATGCCCCCAGCAAGGTCAGCTCGCTTGGGATGTACTTAATTGCTCTGGAGGGTGCTGACATCCTTTAGTTGACCGAGTTCTTTGGTATGGATAAGACACTGTTTACACAACAGCAAAGGCACCTATCGATTCTGATTTCTTTTAGGACCAAGTTCGAACATTTCATTCTTTTCTGCCAGCAGGGTGCATTCCCTCAGCAACAGGCTTGGGCACACAAAGCTGAACCGGCTTATGGAGACGATTGGCTCAGTAGCGAATTCAAGGGTAAAAGGCACAGGCCGGATGCTACCTTTGAATTCCGCACGGGACTTAAACAAGGCACCGCTGCAAATCAGTCGCGACTTCGCAGTCTCTTGCATGAGATGTATGCTCTTGCCCCAATCAGTGCCCCAATCAAGAGACATTTATTAATTCCGATACAGCTTACTTCGAACAGGTCCATCCAGTTTATCCGTTTCTTGACCGGGCGTCCTTTGAGCAGAAAGTCTTTGGACAGGCCTTCTCCCCATCGTCCGTAACCGATCCAGCTTGGTCCGCTCTGTATCATGCTGTCCTTGCCATTGGCTGTCAGTATAACGACGGTGGAAGTTTTGACCCGGGCAATGGACAAGCTTGGAGTCTTTTTGAAATAGCGCTTTCCCACTTTCAGGACATTCTGATGACCAAAGGTTCTTTGACCGCCGTCCAAGTATGTCCTCCTTTCCCGAACATCCATCTTAGACAAAAGACCCTAACCGACGCTTCCTGGCAGGCTCTGACTGCCATGGTGGGATCCCCTGACTGTAGGCTCTGGAAGACGCAGGCTGAAACCGATTCGCAGGCTATCTTCTCGACCACGGTGTCTGCCTGGCAATTCGAATCGCTGATGATCTCCGAAGCGGCCAAAATGGCCCAGAACAATGGTTATAACAAGGCAACCGGTCCGAACGACAGTATATGCCATCGCACCTTTTGGGTTCTGTACACTCTCGAGAAGATATCCTGTTTTACCACAGGGCGAACTTCGGTAAGCTGTCATTTAACAAAATTAAACAAGAAGGCTTATAGTAACGAAAAAGGTTCTCATGGACTCTGACATCGGATGCCCGATTCCCTACGTTCCCGAGTCCGTCTTCGGGGATTATGACTGGTTCCTCGCCTCTGCCAGATATGCCAGGCTCGTCTCGAAGATCTACAGTAGCTTGTTTTCTGTCAGTTCGGCAGGGAAAACAACAGGCTTTTATCACACCTCGATTTGCCAGCTACGTGACGAACTCGAAGAGTGGAGGATGTCGATCCCAGAGCGATACCGGCCTGGCGAACCACTCCGAGCACGGTCGTTGCCTGGCATGTTGGCAGTCTCAATCGCACTGACCACACAATACCTCTACTTTAACGCCCTCCTCACCTTGCTGCGGACTTCCCTCCAGGTCGGAGCCGACGAGCTGGGCACCGCTCACCAGCTAGCAACGAAGAAGTTCCTGATGAAGACTGCCTGCTCCATCTTGGAGTTGACGACCTACATCGAAGTGGCCACCTATACCTCCTTATGGTACGTTCTCCTTTCATCACACTTATGTACTGATTTAAGCGCTGGTACATGACATCCAGGGTCCTGGCACTCATGCCGCTGTCCGCACTCTTCATCATTTTTGACCTTGTCGTCCACAACCCCACCCATCCAGAGACGAATAACAACCTGGCGCTCCTGGACGTCGCCAGTGGCCACTTCAGTCGGGTCGAGTACGAAAGCCGGGGAACCCTGCCAGGCTCCCTGGTGGCCGAGTTTGCGCACATTGCACGGGAGTACGTGCGTGACGTGCAACTGGGCGAGCGGGGCCGGAATAATGATAGCAATCATCAACCTGGCAATGGGACTACAAGTAGCAAAAGTAATACCGGGGTGAACGATGCTCCGAATCAGGCACAATTTCCGAGCCCTGTCCTATCTCAGACTCAGTCACAGAGTCAGGGTCAACTTCCAAACAACGTGTCGTCCGCAGCAGTCGCCTCTCAGACCGCAACGACACGACAAGCTCCAGTGTCCCTAATGACGTCTCTGCAACAATGCGCCTATCACCAAACGTTCGGCGGATCGCAGCCGCAACAAGCACAGCAATACAGCAGCAGCGGTACTCTTATGAACGCGAACGATGGCACCGGGACCGAATCGCTGTTCTTCCCGCTGGTGGACGATCCGAGCTACATGCCGGAGGAAGAGCTGCAGCTGCTGGGGATAGACGTGATGGATCTGTTTGACGCGGTGAATCCGGCCGTTGTTGGGGGTAGCTGAACAATGACTGCATGAGTACATACATTGGGTACTATTGAAACTCGGAAACTTTCCGTAAGCGGTAAAAAGCATATTGTTGATTTGGCCAGCTAGCATTTTGCATTTACAGTACTGGATTATGACCAGTTTCTTATCAGGGACATAATGAATTACGGCATTGTTCCTCCTGTATAGTCTGTCGGCAGTAGACGTAGATTTTGTGCGGCATGATATGTTTATTTAATCTTTGGTTGGCCTGGTATGACCTGGATAGACATATTTCAATACCTTGTTCCTGCATTGTTCTCTTGTCTGATGAATGTCATGGCATTGCTTTTTTATTAGAGTGGTGAAACCGCCAAGAGAGATTTGACTTCTTGATTTGTTACTACTTTACTGTCTCATACATGGTGAGTCAACGAGCATCTGGTGCTGAGGAGTCCGATAGCCCAATTGCTTTCCATCCTGATTTGAAGCGAATGTTGGTGTTCTAGGGTTCCCAGTGTCTGTCGACATTGAGGCCATTTTATGTTTTTTTTTGAGGTGTCTACATGCCCAGAATCTTAATGTCTATATAATATCAGATAGTGATGGCTATATTGATATTCCTGCTATATAGTTACCTAGTAGCTGGTATGTGATATAGCAGTTCAGACCCTCACCTAGCTCACACATAAGGAGGTGGCTATCTATAAGTACTATCTTAAGATGTATTAATAATCCAAGCTGTCTGTCCCTTGTGTTCCTAATATAATATATGAGGATCTACTCTATGCTATAAATATTCTATTGCATTCTAATAATACTTATAACTGGTTACCTTTCTGCGCCCCACTCTTATGACAACTAGTGAAACTGGGCCCGATAAGTTTACTGTGCCAGTCAGTCTGCATGCTTACTCTCGCAACAAGGACGCCCGTATGTCACAGCTGGCAGATATGGTGTGGTATCTTTGTGAGAGGAGAGCAGGAACTGTTGCGACCGCATCCTCAAGGGAATGAATCTACCATCGGTCATTGAACGCTTTCTTACCTCATTAGCTGCATTTCTTTGTGCATCTGCTGTTGATAGCTGTGGTCTATAGATACATGGAACGCATCTAAATGAAATATTTTCTTGAGTCATCCATCCTCCAAATTTCTTTGTTTTGTAGATACCATATATAAGATATAAAGCTTCAATCACAAAATATATTTTGACTGAATCTCCTAACTCATTTCGCATCCCACTCCAAGAGAGCCTTTCTACAATCCTCTCTTCGGAAATTATCCGGCCAGCCATATTCCCTATAAATCTTCTTCATTTCCTAAGATCAGGAATCAGCTCAGCGTTAGTCCTATTCTATCAAGGAAACAAAGGGTATCAGTCGAACAGGCAAGAGGAAATGCGTACCTCGCCGTATTCATCGTCACCAAAAACCACATACTTGGTTGTCACCGGCGGCATCCACTCGAGACGAAGATAGTTGTTCTTCCACTTCTCGTGTTTGAATGCCAGGGTCATGGTCTCGTCAATGCATAGCCGATCTCGCCAGCTGCGCGGGTCGTCGGCGGGGTAGTTTGGGGGGTATTCCCATTTGAAGCGGACGTAGTCTGATACCGTTTCTGGGTATATCACATATATTAGCCCTATTTTTTTTAAAAAAAAAGTATTTATTTACTAAACTTACCATCACTCGTAGCCAACATGATCCAGTGCCCCACCTTACTCTCCCCGTATGTCAAAGAGATCACCCACGACGGAAACACGCCATCCTCATCGTTGGGATCATACCATCTGTTCCAGCCCGCCCGCCAGTCGCAAGGGCGTGTCCAATCCGCAATGCAGTAGTCATGACCCGTCTTCTTGAGGGTCATATCGATGTACGGCAAATGTCGGAGGAGGGCGACCACTTCATCCGTTTTGGGCTCGGAACGCGCGAAGACCAGACTCTCTTTGGTGATATCGGGCCAGCCACCCGGTGGAGGGTAGCGGATATCCTCCGGGCCCAAGGAGGGAAGAGTGGTGAGGAATTGGTAGAAGGAGAAGATTAATGCGATGATCTCTTCTCGGTTGTAGTGGTGGGTGGCGCCATTGAGGCGGGGGTCTGGAGGGGGCATTTGTTTTTTTATTATATTGTATTCTTTTTGGAAATTACTACTTGTTGGAAAGAAAGAGATTGTTTATGTAGAAGTACTTCTAACCCTGGCAATTAGAGCGGGGTACTGTGCTAAAAAAAGAAAGGTAGGGCAGAGAGACTATATACACTAAGTCCGTGTTATATAGAGATCATCTCCTGCTCAGAATCCTGTACGTCCTCCTTCACCATATAAAAGGGAGCTTCTTATAGATCTTTGAGACTGAAAATTGCGAAGCCATCCGTTGCTAAAAGTCGGCATCTCTTGGCCTTGATAAGCAGGGAGATTTGTTCAGAAAAAGTGAGCCTTCTCTCAAATAATGTCACCACTAATTATTGTATCCACTTGTGTAATGCCTCTTCTATCTCTGGCCAGTTCAACGCGACGTCTTTTGATATTCGACGACTGCTGGAGAACCGTCTAAGAATGAATATGAGTGTTTTTGATCTCGAATTATTTCATCTCAAGCCCGATGAAAGGGGCTCAGACTCAATTTCATCCCGTAGAAAAATCTTGTGGTCAATTGGGCTGCGGTTTGTTGGAACACGCTTGCTCACTTTCTGGCGGATTACCTGGACGAGCCTAGTGGTACACGAATAATTTTGATCTTACTTGGACCATTAACAGCTTCATAAGTAGATCATTGGCGTGAAGTTGGTGAAGTTTCTCAGCCAGCTTAATGTGCAGGGTTATTTCATCACCCTTGTTCATTGTTTCTGCTTCAGTCTGTGCCGAGCCTCCTTCCACAGAAAATTCAATTGCATCAATATGGGATCCATATCGACATCTTTCCTGCACCTGAGCAAAAAACAAATAGTATTCCTGTTGTTCCGCTGTATTCATTTTCCACGGTATGAGAATGTTTCTGATGTCGATATCGACAAGCTCTTGAAATTCGCTGGCCGACATACTTAACTGTAGAAAGATCATGTGGTAGTAGCGAATGGCAAACAGAGTTGCACAGCACAGTCGTCTGAAATCGTCAGCTCCGCCTCCTTCATCTTTCTGCTTAAAAACACAGCATCTCTCAAATCCGAACTACTCTTTTCCGTGCAATTCTTATTTTGCATGTAGCATCGAGTATACCTCACCTGATGCACCATCTTGTCACAGGGATGTGCTGAGCCTCGCCAACCAAAACAGCTGTCTCAGAAGACATCGCAGCTGCTGCCCGTTCCGACTCCATGCTCACCTCAGCTGGAAGTTCTCCATTCTCCACAAAGATAGACACTCGAGAGACAAAGTCCGCCACAATCACCTTGCTATCCTTGCTATCTTTGTACACAATCGACACCAGCGCTCCCATCTCCTGTCCCAGACCCTCGCAGAAGCAGCCTGCCAGGACCAGCGCAGGGCTTTCAATGTTGTGGGGACCGATATCCTTCCATGATGGCCCGTCGTCTTCTATCTTGCCAAAGTTGCATAGGCGATAGTAGCTCTCGTCATTCTCGATCCTGAACCAGACTGTATCCCGCAACGGAGCGGTCGACAGCGGCAGGGACAGACCCGGCAGAGTGGCGATGAGGCCTCGCGGGCTCTGCATCGCGAGCGGAGTCGCCAGCAGGGACGGCGGGGGGAGGGTAAAGCCCTGGGTAGGCATCAGCGAAGACGGCGCCCAGCGGAAGTATCGCTGGGTCAGTCTTCTCCCCGGAGCAAACATCAGATGCGCCGGAAAGAGTTTCATCATCTGCAGCAGCTCCGCCATGCGATGCTCCGGGGCGGTGCTCGCGATCCTCCCGGCATCCAGGTCCAGCAGGACCGCCAGGCAGACCGGTTCGTCCTCCTGCTTGGTGGTCGTCCGCCACTGCAAGGCCTCGACCAGCTCCAACACGCGTTCGCTTTCCAGGCGTTTAAAACGCTGGAAGTATTGCAGAGAGGACACCACGTCAACGGTGGGATTAGCTGGCACGTCGACCGCCTCGTCTCGCTGGCTTGCGTCGATCAGGTCCTGCAGTGCTAGAGCCTGCTCCTTGAACTGGAAGAGCAGCTCCTTCGCCAATGCCCCCTCCTGCAGCGTCCACAGGCGGCGCATCCACCCGGAACAGACGATTCGCATCAAGCACTCCACCGGCGTGGTTCTCATCGATGCCGTCTCAAGCTCCCCGTCTAGCACGAGCACTTTCGCCGCGCTCTCGTATGTCCTCCTCATCCTGCCGATGGCCACGGGTCGATACTCTCCCCGGATCGGGACACAGAGCGTGTCGAGCCAGAACAAACCCGGTTTGTCGTCATCGTTCTCGATGATCATTGAGACGAGAAACTGGATATATTGGAGTTGGCATGTCGGAAGGGCATTGGCAGTGACGTTTCCCCTTCCGTCGGACCAGACATGCGAAATCGCAACGTAGCTGGGAGGGTCCTGAAGGTCTGCCTCGACCGTCTCGATCGTGCAGCCCTTCTCTCCATCCATCACGAGCCTCACCAGGGGAATGTGTCCATTCGCGAGGGCAGATGCCAAGCTCTCCTCAGGCGGACCGATCAAGTCACAGTCGCAGCTGTCGACGACATGTTTCTGGCGATAACGGTCCTTGTCGAGATAATGCATATTGCACCTCTTTGCCGAGCAGGTTGCATGCCTCGCCATTGTCGAATAGTCCATCCGCAACGCGCTGGCATAGTACATGGCCGACGAGGAGAGCAGAGACGACAGCATCTGCACTCGATTGGGACACCATCCGTCCATGCGCATCCTTCGCGCTGGCCATGTGCTTCGACGCCAGGCCTTGGGCTTCCGCTCCGATGTCGGAAATACACGACGATAGATGCGGATGGCAGCATACTCGAGCGTCTCGCAGAGAGCGATATGCACAAACCCGCCTGGGCCCAGCGGGTCGTAATCAGACCGCTCGCTGTATAGCCGATCGACAATGAGCTTCGCGTCTTCCAGGACGGCCTGTACCTGGAGCGCATGCTGCTCTCTGTCCTCTGGCGAAGCCTGCTCTTCACGGGCAGCCCACACGCGCAGATACGCGGGCAAGGCAGCGGTTGTCAGGATGTCCCGATCCAGGAGGCCCTTGGTCACAAACTCGGTGTGCTGGATCAGGATGCCTGGGATTTCGAGGATCTTCGATAGGACCCCAAAGAACAGCCACTCCTGGACGAATCCCTTCATCTGCCAGGCGTCGAGATCCCCCAACCGTCCCGTCGTGAGGACGGCATCTTTATCCAGGCCTTTTTTGGCCGGGTAGTCTAGCAGCGGGCAGTCGATGGGGAGGCGGAAGTTGGGATCGCAGAGATATTCGACCTGCGGATGCCCGAGGAGGGGGTCTGCAGGGAGAGGGAGGTGGTCCATGGCGACATAGAACTTATCATACACTTGAAATCAGGAGGTGACTGTCGCCAGGGATGTAGAAATGATTAGCTGTTAATGGCACACAAGACTGCGGCTCAAATAGTGCTGCTGGCAGGCCTGTCTTGCCACACAACTCCTGCAGAGAGAACTGGTCTTGCCAAGGGGATGATAGAGGATATACAAAGTATCGCAAGATGCACTGCTTGTCAACTTGCTGCGTTGGACCAATGACATGGAGAGAAACAACTAAGTCAGTGGGGAAAAAACGATTCGCCCTCGTCAGATTTAATTTCCTGTGGGAGACGTGGTTACAAGATCGACATATCCACCGCTTTGCTGGGAGTTGTTTAACCCTAAAAACTACGTAGTATAATTCAGGGAATACAAAGCGGAGGTACAGTACCAAGACAATGATGATGGCTAATAGGAAATAGATCTAGCAAGGCAGACCGCGACACGGCACTGACTATGTACTGTAAAGTTATTTTAGAATTATAAGAGGTTTTTGGAATATTGAGAAGCTTTAATTCTCGTGACTAGTATAAGTCATAGTCTTGAGTGTTAAAGGAATACTTGTGGTGTGGATCTATTAAGCCAAGAAAGGCTACCAATGGCTTTTCCCACTCTGTGATGTTTAAAAATATAAATAGCAACTAAGTGGAGATAAAATATGATCATCATAAATAGCTATCGTATAAGTATCTCGCTTTCTCTACGTGTGTGTTTTTTTTCTATTTCCCTACTATCTACACTTGTCCTCCCCTTACTCTTCCACTTTCCTCGAGATATAGCACGGCCATCTATATTGCACTGGCGTAGAGTAGGATTCACAGTTCCCTGCAGTTCCATTCTGTAATAACTATTCATACTTCAGAGGCTATTGAAGAAAAAGTATTCAATTTCATCCACTACATATAAAGCAAAACATGAACGTAGAAAGATGCTTGATTCCTCATCGACTATCGACCTTCGTCTGCGAGGCCATCGCAGACACATTGCTGGTAGGAGACTCCTCTCCCACCGTCATCTTGGGCCCCTTGAACCATTTCCTTGCAAAGAGAGCATAGTACAGCAGTGCGCCGCCCCAGAGCGCGCCGTTGATCACGATCGTGTAGTTCATGTCCTTGGCTGCATCCACATCTGTCAGCAGCTGTACCCATACGACAGAATTTGAATGGAGGAGATATGATATGTCGACTTACGCGACGGATCCGGCCCCGTCGTCGGAAACATAGACAGCACAATCGCAAAAACGAGATACACAATCGCCGTCACAGCAATCGGCCTGCTCAGCCAGCGACCGGTGTAGAACTCACCCGGCCGGAACTTGCCCTGCTTCTCGCCCCACATCAACCGACAAAAGATGGGCATGCCCCAGGCGAGGTCGTTGCCCGCCACGGCGAGCGAGAACAGTGCGTTCGATGCCGCGTCGTTGATCAGGCAGAGCAGGCCCAGGATCACGGACATGGTGACCACGCCCCAGATCATTCGCACCGGTTGGTAGCGGATGCGTTTGCTGACGTGCCGCAAGAAGCGTGAGAAGGGCAGGGCGCCGTCGCGAGAGAAAGCCCAGCTTTGGCGGGAGGCAGCGATGACCTAGTCAGTCAGTACAGATGACAGGAAAGAAAGGGAATCAGGAGGAAATGAATTATTACTGACCAAGCTCAGTCCCATGAAGAACTGCACGACCGCAACGACAGCCATGAAGCCAAGGGCACCATGTTTGCCGAGAGAGTCGTAGTATATCTGTTCAGGTTAGACAGCAGCAAACAACGAGAACAGCGACTGGAAATACCTGAGCCATCGGCTGCCCAAACGAAGTACCGAGAATATTGCCGATCTTCGTATCCATCACCGCTGCAATCACCGTCAGCGAAACCCATCCCAGCACACCGCACATCCCACTGGACCAGACGATGCCCAACGGCACCGCGCGCGAGGCATGTGTCGCCTCCTCGCTCATGTGCACACACGAGTCGAATGCGCCAATCGTCCAGATGGGCGAGAGCCAGGCGAGCATGAACGCCCAGCCGGTGGGCCAGGAGGTGAGGTTCTCGACGTCCCCGAAGACGTAACTGCCGGAGTTGATCGGGACGTGGTTGACATTGTTGCCGATTGGGAGGGCAATGACCGTCGCGATGACGAGCCCGACGTTGAGAAATATGCACATAGCCTGGATCTTGGGCATGATGCGTCCGAAAAACGTCGCGATGAGGCCGTGGGTCGCGACGCAGGCGACGTACGTGCCGTAGACAACTGGCCGGGAGGCAGTCCAGGTGCCGTCGCGAGCTAGCGAGATGACAGAGAGCAGCATCAAGGCGAAGCTATCTACGCCAAGTTAGATCTCAGATTCACCTACATAGCGATGCTGAACGCACAATCAACCGAGCAAACCCCTCCAACCAAGCCGATCGTATTGCTGTATCCAACCACGAAACTCAGCGGATTCCTCCATTTCTCAGACGCGAAGTAATGCGTCCAGAAGTAGAGGCCGCCTGCAGTCGGCATTGCAGACGCCAGATCGGCCTGCAGGCAGAGCACATTATTAGTCCACCGTTGAAAATGCAGTCAAGAGGTATTTACCATAGCCAGACCAACGATGGTGATGAAGATACTCGCAAGAAGCCAGCCTAAACCGTAGTAAATACTAAGATAAACTGATATCAGAATGTGTGTACATACCCTGTCAGCAGTAACCATCAGTATACGACAAGAATTTCACCAGTACGTGTCTATTTGATACATGAGAGCATACCCAAACCATCCCCACCGGCCCCGCAGGCAGCGAAAAGGTCAGCGTCGACGCAATCGACGGCAGCAGGCCCATGATGCTGAACGCGATGGCGAAGATCTCGAGGGTGGAGTAGTGGCGGCGCAGCTCTTGTTTGTAGCCCAGCATCGCTAGCAGATCCATTAGCATCTATCACTACGTGTATCTATGGGGGTTGGGATTCTGGTTAGTATTCGAACCTAGCATCTCTGAATCGCCTGCTCTGATGGCGTCGTCATGGCTGTTGCGCTCGTCCATTGTACCTGGGACTGGAGTCGCAGCGGGAGCCTTGTCGGCTGTCATGGTTACAGCTTGACCGTGTTTCTCTGGGTCCATGGTGAATGCCAATTCAGTAGAGAAGAAAGATGGAGAGGAGAGATCAATTGACGGACAGTGAGGTCAAGTCGCTGAATGGAAAGGGGAAAAGAAAATCCAAGATTAGTAGCACAGAACAAGAAGAGCATGCGTGGGCATACCTTACTTTAGCATGTGCCGCAGTGAATTACATATATGTAAGAAAGTAAGCATGCATGCATGCTTGCATTGTAGCACGCAGCCCGGAATTATCGCCATACCCTCGACGGCTAGCCACAGGGACCGAGCGACGGAAACAAAGAAATGATAAGATACCAAGGCTGTGCAATGACACTCTGATAAGAACACGGGCAAACACGAGCAAGTCTCAGCCACTGAATGATAATATTCCGCAACTGGCGATGGTTGCGTATTAGACTAGCTTATCAAGGTGATCGTTTCCCCGATCGGCAGCTGGCAGTTATCCTGTCTGTGCTATCGCGTCGCGTCTGGGGTAATTGTTTACTTATCTGTCACCCCCACCAAACTACTCCGTAGACGATGTAAGATGCTGATAAGCTGTCGATGCACGATAGCGCCGAAGGAAATTGATTGGATGGAATTTATCGAGTTTGAAGCTGATGTCATCGTGTTGGTGGACTACATAATAGGATTGGACGATTATAAATATCGGCTCAAATTTTCTACGCTCTACCAGAAGGGAGAATTTGTTCCCGTACGAAAGCAAATTCTAAAATTTATATATCTAGAGAATAAATATGGAATGATAGGATGTCTAAAGGCCATTACGATGCAGATTGTCAGTCTGCTCGATGCATGGATATTATCGACCCTCGCTAGTTAATCAATCTTTAGGGAAAAGTGTTTACTCTCTTCGATCTAGCTATCCAGAAAAATGCCATCTGCTTCGTCAAAGGCGCAGCTCTGCATGCTGCCACTAGTTTTATTAAACTATATTATCATTTCCCCTGGATATGAAACTGGATATTCCGTAGCAAGTATCGATGAAAGCAGAAGCTCTCATATTCTATGCCCTGCTCTGCTCTTACACCGGTTCTACCTCACATAATGCTGAAGGCTATATGCTTCGTTCAGTTGGGCTCGCCTGCCGGAGGCGTAGTCTGCGTTGGCGACGCCAGCGGTGATTCTGAATGCTGCTTCGCATGAGCAACGTCATTCGCATGGCCATTGCTGGAATTGACAGCCGTCAGCTCGGACATGTTGCGCGTGTGACGCGGGCCTTGCTGGAGGTTCTCGCCTGGAGTCGACTGCGACGCTGAACGCTCTTTCTCCATCTGCGCCTCGAGCTCGTTGTAGTCCTGGCCCGGATTGCACGTCTGATATCGCAGCTGGTTCAGTAGGTAGAAGAACGCAGAGGCCAGAAGCGAGCCCAGCAGCGGTCCGACGAAGTAGATCCAGAAATACCCCGGGAAGTGGTGGTTGACCACGGCAGGACCGAGCGAGCGAGCGAAGTTGAGCGAGCCGCCGGTGTAGTAGATACCTAGACACATCAGTGATGGAACTTGAAATCGTCTGTTCTTCGGTTGCGTCTATCTTACCAGCCAGCTCAGTGACAAAGAATGAAAGACCAATTCCCACCGGCGCCAAAAAGGTCGCCTTGTGCTTGACAGCCGCCAGCATGATCACCACGAAAACCAGCTGTGTCGTCAGGAACATCTCGATGAACAGCCCCCTCGAGATGGAGGTTCCTCCACCGAGGGTGGTCTCGACATTGAGGGAGCCAGGGAAGAGACATGACACGACACCGGCAGCGGCCAGGCCACCCAGGATCTGGGCGATGAACACCAGCACACTGCGCAGCAGCGGCAGTCCTCCAACCAGGTAGAGAGCCAGAGTCACCTGGAGTCATTCAAGTTAATCCTTTCCCCGTTTTGCCTAGATAAACCAGGCGATTGACATACCGACGGATTGAACAGGCCACCCGTCACGCGATAGAAAGCCCACACATTGACTGTCAGCGAGAAGCCAAAGGACAGCGAGGCATACAGCAGCGCCGCTGGATTGGGATCAGCGCCTTCGGGCGGCTTAGGCGTATTGGCGATCTGCGTGCCAGCAAAGGACCAGAAGAGGAAGAGGAAGGTGCCGACGAACTCGCCCAGCATGGCGACGATATTGTTGCGAGTCGTATCAGCCAGGTTAAGCATTGGAAGCTGCATCTGGCTGCGCTGGCGGCTGACGGACGCCAGCTGGTCCGACGAGGACCCTGAGCGGGCCTGGCTGCGGAGATGCATGATGATGATCGAATATTGTCTCTGGATGGAATGATTGATCCCTTCCTCGTCTGGAAAAATACCGAGACAAGCAGATGAGACAAACTTACTTCAGGGGGCGAGACCTTCTATAAATTATTCGCCATGATCCTGATTGTATCGACCAGACGTCATGACTAGACGTTGACTTTGCGATACTGGCATAGTGGAACTGTTTACTGCAGGGTCTAGCCCAGCGAGAAGTATTTCTCGATGTAACGTAAGGAGCCATTCAGCCCAGATTAACAACAAGCAGGTCAAATTAGTGCCGAAACGAAAGGATAGAGTTTGAGTGAGTGCAAAGGCTGTAGCTCTCGCTAGTAGGTATGTAGAGCTCCTTGCCTGTGAAGGGAGGTCGTGCAAGAAGAAGCAAGCTCGGTTCTCCGCAAAAAATATGACAGTCTTTAGGACCCACTGTCTCTAAACGCGCTCGTCGACCAACGCATAGAATTTTTTTATTGGCATTTCCAACAAATATCATGCCATGTATAGATGTTGTCATTCGCTGCAATAGGTGGTCTCTGCGGAATTAGCGGCGGCTGAATATTTCCGAAATATATATATACTACCTGAGGTAAGGTAGGGAACTTTATGCTCAAACCAAGCTTATCCAATTTCTGCAGGGTGCTTTGACCAGGACCAAGACTGTCAGGTAAAATAAGCTTATGGATATGAGTTACTGCCTCGCTGGTTGGTTGCGTGGTGCTGCAGCTGGCGTGAGTATTTCCGCAAACGGAAATCCTCAGCTGTCACTGTCCACGTCCAACTTTAAGATCTAGCGTAACCTATCACATTGCTTAAAAAATAAAAAAGAGAAAAAAAATTAAAAAATAAAAAAAAATTGCTACTACTTGGCACCTCATTCGTGTAACTTACGGGGTAGTATCGCTACCTGAATGGCAGTCATGACGTCCTTCATGTGGCCGAGACCCCTTAACGAGACGACGCATATAGACTACACCCTCCATGACAGACGAGAAAAAAGACCAAAAATGACGAAATTACGTTGTAAATTGTAGAAACATTAGGGCCAAAAAAAAGAGAGATAAAAAAGGCCAAAGGAAGGGAGAATAGTCAAAGACGAGGGCAAGAGAAATGTCAGCAGCTTGAGAGATGCGGATTGAAAGGACGTACCAAACATCACCTCGGATTTGTACTATACATACGTCGCTAACTCGCATACGCATTCTGGCGAGCTCATCGATGCCGGTCCAGACGCGCAATCACCAACTGGAATTCCATATACGGCAATGCCAAGCTCTTCCCACGTATCCCACGCTTTGGGTGTGCAAATCTCAGACTGGGGCTGACTTGTATTCTAGAGAACTACTAATTCGTTATTCGAAGATGAAAGTATAATGGTGCAAGTGAATACTCGTCCACGGTGTTGTGTGAGAGCTCAACAATGCTCTAGCATTCGAATGACTTTCTCTGTCAGAGAATCCACGAAGCAGACTTACTCAATCATATAGATATTAAATGGTTGGGCATAGCCCTACTGTGGTAAAATGACTAACATACTGCTATCGACTGCCTCGTCGAGTATACGCAGGTGGAGGTGGTCTTGCCTTTAACATACGAATCCCGCTTCATCGAGATACAGGAATTTTAAACTGGGATGAGGACTGCTTCTAGGGAGTGCTTATTATTTTTACTCTATAAATCTTGCGCCAAATTCGAGCCCTGTGAGAGGTCATGACTGTAACGATGCCAGTCTTGAACAGTCAGGGGCACTATATTTTCTCACATCCCTATGAGGAGCGAGCATAGGCGGTATGACTACCAGGAGCATATCTGGGCTCATACCAACCGAAGAGCGTAGCGATTGCAAACTGCCGTTGCCGAACTGCAGCTTGCCTTAAAGAGCTTCTCTATGTAACAGGAGCCTGTTTACCTATTTCCACTGCACAGAAGTAACGAAGAAAAGAATAGGACCAATAAACACACTTTATCAATAGTCCCTTCTAGATTCACTTGCTGCTGATCTGAGAAAGCGAACCAGATGCAGTTGAACGGCGGTTTCCGAGCGCTGTCATCAGCAATACTTCTTAAACTTTCGTACGGCGTGCCAACATAACTGCTTCCAAGAAAACAGATATGGAATACGGAATTATCCATGTAGCTAGACTGGCTAAGAACTGCTTTGTCTACTCAGGAGAACTATGCCAGAAAGTGAGATAATTCTGCAGGATTCCGTAAGACCTAGCGGATAGGCGCAGTAGAAACCCGAGCTGCAACTGCATCATTCCTGCAGCATCTACAGAAGTGGACGGGTGGTAGAGAAACGAAAGGAATGTCTTGGAGATGGATAATGCCAGGAAGATACATCTGAAAATCCGACATAGGTACGTCTTTCTAGACGAGGAGATTTGTCGGAAGTTCCCTATCAACTCTCTGTACAGGAGGCAGCATTCCCTGCAGCATCCTGGCCACTGCCGTATTTAATTCACTACTCTTCGGAACTCTCCGCGAGATCATTCACCTGTATGGTAATTTCTGACTCTATTCGATGATAGGATCGCTTAATCTCGCTTAGCTAGGTTGCTGGCATTCACTGCCTTCCTCCTGCCACGGCTGGCTACCAAGAAAGGAATATAAAGAAGCACAACTCCCACCATCCCACACCTCAAAAATTTTCTTCTTCTTTTCTCACACGTCGCTATATAGCCTGCTCTATCCTTTTTCTTGTCTGGAGGAACTATAATATTTCTAATATAGCTTATCATACTACATATTTCTTAGGGGTCTGCCCTCTCGTCCATCTGTCTCTTTAAAAATAAAACTTTTGATGAGTAGCAACATCGTGCTGCCTTCAAGAAACCCCATCATTATTCCAACTTGCCTGAAATCGGCAGAAACGGACCACATACTTGGACTGGAGTGGCCGGGCCGATGCACACTGCGGGCATTTACGCTGCACTAATAAGTAGGTGTCGAGTTCCTCTGAATTCTCTCGTCTTCCTGTCCCTTTCATAGTGCATAACTGAATTATCCAGATATCCCTCATTGCAGACGGTGTGTCCCCCCTGGGACAGCAGCTACATGATCATGTCGCTGTGGGGGAGCACTGGCAGAATGCCGACGGAAAGCGTCGCCTGTACCAACTGATACGGCAGCATCCACTTAGGGCGTCCGAGAATGGGGTGCTTGAATTCATAAGCATAATCAATATGCCAGAGGTGAGCTACTATTCTCCTTTCTCTCTCACCCTCAAGGAATATCCTGCTGACTAGGACCTTGCAAAATCAAAGAGGAATCCCTGAGGACATCATGCACTTCAATGGTGCTTTTTCATGCTCCATGTTCCCATGAGTTTGTCCGAAAGGGCATGATCAACCAGAAGCAACTTGGCTCGTGAAGGACTTGCCATGCCTGACAACCGTTGGGATCGACTTTTCCTTGCTCTCTCACGCTTGGCCAAGTGGGCCAGCGTGTCGAATCTCATTTTCTTGCTGAGCAGGACAGCTAGTGCTCGGGGGATCATCAGCACAAGCATCTACTTACTCATCTTGACTGGGTATGATGCGCAATATTATTATCTGCAGGCAGACATGGACAACCTGAAGATGGTGTATCCAACCAGCAGTATCGGCGGCGTTTTGGTTCAGAAGATCGACGGTTTCCAGGGCGGAGAAACGCCCTTTGTGAAGCTGTCGGATTCCTGTCTACATATCGTGATGGAGACATTACCAGTCAACGTTCGATCCGAACGCTGGCCTGCCGATATAGCCAAGCAGGGATACATTGGGCGGTATGCTTACTCTTCAAATTTCCCCCTTAAAGACCTTTTTATTAATACGACCATAACCTTCCAGGTCTTCTCAGTCTCCCAGGACCAAAACGAAATTTACTTGGCCTTCTCGACGGTTGATCGCCACTACGGCAAATACTTGGACAATGGGGGCAGGACTGAACGCTTTCTCGAAGTTCACCACTCTGGTCCATGGAAGATAAAGAACGCGGATCATACTTGAGAAGATCTAGGATAGTGAGCCAGTTACGACCACTTAGCCTCAGTACCGATGTTTATCGACGATCCAAGAACGGGAGTGCCTCTGTGACGATCTACGGGGGATCTCCATTAAATCTCAAACATCCTTTCGGCACATTGGAGATAACTTAAACGCGTCTGGTAGGTTTTTGATAAAAAATGAATCGTCTCATGCAGGGCCCAGGGGAAGCACCTATCCGACCCCAGGCTGATGGAAGGGTCCTTCGACCACCGCGCACAAGTGTTATGATATGAAGTCCCTTATACAGGAGGGGACACGCAATGTCAGAAACCATGGCTGGATCTGAATTGCTACGCAACGTCCATCTCTATCACGATACTGGAAATGTGCGGGCCTTACAAAGGAACGGGCCAGCAATGTTGGCAATGTCCAACAGAGACTTGTAAGTCGAACCACTTGGAGAGATTTATACTTCCCACTCTGACATGAATCACAAGGGGTATGGTATAGTCTATGCCAGGAGGACGGAAATCTCCAACACCTTTGTGAGAGCATCTCAAAATGCAATTGATGGGATATCGCACAAACAGAAGCAGAGGAACAGGACATACCGGAGATATCTTGAGGCATAGGCGATTCTTTAGCAGTTCCAGTCCTCAGTGTCGCTCCTGGCGGCAGCAGCATTTCTACCTTTGAAGAACCACCTGCCGGAGAATGACCTCTTTCCTCAGCTTCGCCAGGCTTCCGCGCGTTTACCGCAATAAGATCAACGCATAAAACATGTTTTCATATTGATGTTCTGTCAATTTAACCATTCAGGTTGACATGACCTAGGTCAAATTGCAGAAATGAGGTTATGTTCTATTACGTTCTGGTAATACATACAAACTGATTGCATTTCTGTGCCCCAGCCTTATGACAATTAGTGAGACTGGGCCCAGCAAGTTCCCCCCCCCCTCTGCCTCCGGTGAGTTCGCAAGGACAGAGTGGGTGGCAGAGCTAACGCGCGAGCAGATGGCTGTTGTCTCCCCACCCGAGCCTGGTGTGTTGCTGCCAGCCCCCATGCCTGTCCATGTAGCGGCCTCAGGAATAAGTGATCAGAATGGAACATGGGTCTTGTGAGGGCCAAAGTGCGTTCGCAGCTAACAGGAGGTAGCCACCCGTGCTGTGCCAAGTCAGTCTGCATGCCTACTCCCCTATATCATAGCTGGCAGGTATACTCTCTTTGCAAGAGGAGAACGAGAACTGCTGCAACTACATTGTCAAGGGGATGAGTTGACCATCTGTCATTGAGCACATCATCACCTTATATAACTGTTTCTTTTGCAATTCGCACCCAACATCTCTGCAGTGTTGTTCAAGCCATGTTCTTGATGATTGCGTTCCCTGGAATGGATGAAGGACTTGGGCATGGTAAGTGTCTTAAAGCCCTATTGCTTATGCACAGCACCTTATAGCATATACTTAATGATCAATCATCAAACCAGCTCCTACAATGAGAGCACTCGTGAACAAAGAGACTACAAAGATATACGAGAACTTGTTGAAAACCATCTGCCGCCTTCGCCTTCTGATGTCTCTTCCAGGACTGCCCACGTGAAAGGACATTAGCAATCATGGATCCCAAAATCGAACAAAATTTTACGTTCCAGGGATGTCACATTCTGGATTGGGGATCGACGTCATGGTTAGTGATCACATTAATATCTACATCAACAGGCTGTCGGGTAAGCCGAATGCAGCAGCTACTAGAGCTCCATCCCAAGCGAGCATTGCTAATACTTCATTGAATTGGTGCAAGTGACACCGAATAATTCCTGTCCGGAAACAATGAGTTCTGCCTATTCTCTTCGCAGGTTGTTTGTTTGAATGTTCGCAGTGTCTTCCTCATCATTTGTGAGTTTCATCGACATGCTCGCAAGAGTTCCATATACCATGCTCTATGTTCGCAGTGTTACTGAATGTTCGCGAGTCGAATGACAATGGCGTCCCGGCACCGGCCGGCCCCCTGCATGCGCCCGCGACCAATTCTCCTGTGGCTGCCGCCCCGCCTATGTTTCAAGAATGCAGAGACGCGCTCATGATCCCAATGAAGGAGACTGAAAGATGCTGTCGTAGCACCGGATGACGATAACCTGGCAGATAGCCAGCATTTGGATGGGGACGAGATACACTGAGAGCGCGAGGTCTGGCACGGAAGGCGACTCCCATGAAGCTATCGTCAAGCACTCTTTTTACGAATCGCGGGCAGATTCTCTCAGCGGCCGCAAAGGCGCTGCCGTCAGACTCGGCTGCAACGAGAACGCTGGTCACTCTGCCGACGAACGGTGAGCCGACGCCACAGCAAGGACGATATAGAAACCAAGTGGGCCGCAACCCTAACTGGGAAGCGGTCCTGGCCCAGGCAGTGGGAAATGAGAACGCAGCGTCGTTCATCCTTGTCCGAATCATCTGAGTGGAATTCCAGGAATAGAGGTTGTCCCAGCAAACCAAGCACGGGAACAAATACTGGAGCGAAAGTCGGACGAAGAAAGAATATGTTGACCAACATGATCGCCCTCGCCATCGAAGACAATATTCGCCGCATCATGACTAAGGGCTCCCATGGGAAGAATATGATTTGAGCACTGCAACAAGACATTTGCTTGCAGGAAAAGAAACAGCTTCTCTCACACCCGCTCCCACAGTTCCCGTACATTTACTCCTGGGCTAATCCCCTGCTACAACAGGGCTAGTATGTCTTTCTATTGGGGAAGGGCAAAAATCCTCATGAAGGATCTCTGCGATGTTGGTAACTTTGTCAATGCCGCTATCCAAAATCACGGTTAATTCAACGCCCGGGAAGGTACTCATATGCTCTTACTATGTCCCTTCTGCTGGGAGTAATACGCACCGATGCATTATTCTGTCTTCGCAGTTTATCTGACTGCAGGCTCTGGGGAGTATCCTCAGCCTAGGCCCGACGTCCATTGTGTGCTGTCTTCACGTGCTTCCCCTGAACTGATTGCTGAGTCGGCTGCGCCCTACTAGCGATACATCATTGCGCCGGTTGGCTTTATCTTTGCCCATGCTGTGGAACTGGTTGCTGGCGAAGCATCCACCTTTAACAAAGAAAATGATGATCTCTCCAATTTCTGGCAGCAAGACCTCTTCGCTATTACCACACGGATGCGTGCCTCAAGGACCCATGGCTGACCGACTGATCGCACCCAGAGATAATGGCCACGACGTTCGGGTTAGCATCGGTCCACCAAATCAATACGAGGATACTTATCCAGACACGAGTATCCAAACGGTAGTTGGAGAGGTTGAAGCATGGCACTGTTGGATGCTCCTTGGATTGCGGACTTGACGAAAGCACATTCTAGAGTATACTTATATCGGAAACGGTTCTCACTTCCTTCTCCCCAATGCTGATATGTCTACCAGAGCAAATTACGAACACGTTGAACCATTGCAGTTATCGCTATGGTTTCATGGTTAAGTCTCTCAGGCATACAACCAACACTCAACCTTATCACTCACATATGGAGGTGCTTATATCCAATTCTCTCTGAACTGCATGCGCAACATCGATCAAACAAATCCAGCATTGCTTCACAGAATGGGAGGGGATTATGCCTCGGCAAAGATTCCGACTATGAAGAAGACTATCTCAAACAGCCTCATTCGAAACTTGCAAAAGCATACAGGGCATAGGACCGAGACTCTGGTTCTAATCTGCAGTTACTCTGTGATTAGCACCGGATCGAAGCTGCAGAAGCTATGCTGCAATGCTCGCCATATTGACAATTCGATGTCAATCCCCCCTACCGAGCAGGCTAATGGCCGCATCCGACGTCTGGGACAAATGCACATCGTCGAAAACTGCAACGAGACGGTCCTGTGCAGAAGCCGCCGAGGCTGACAGTACTCGCTGAGAGTTGACAGTGTCTCAAAGCCTGGATATCCCAGTGGTGATAAGCCAATTCCAACTGTACGTCTTCTGATTTGGGAGGATTTCGGTGGCTCCTTCAGCACCATTCAAGGACGAAATCCAAAGTCTCCTGTCATCAGATAGCATTCCAATTGAGGTAGTCAACCCTTTGAAGTGTTTCCAACTTTCTATTTCTGCAGAGACTATCCAAACCACCGCCAGTCCACACGCCGCAGGCCCAATCACAGATAGACCTTTTCGGTGGCCACAAAGGCGCAACGATATCCCTACTGAATTGCGTCGATCTGGAAAATTTTGCGACTCTTTTGGAGCAAGGAGCAGGTAGATGCATGGTATCAAGCCATCTTCACCCGCACCACAGAAGTCGTGGACAATTTGATCTGCCTTGCTCCTCATGCTGATAAGTATCATAAATGGGTACACTCTACACTTCAGCCAATTATATACAAAAAGTGGAAGGTGAAGAATGACATTCTAGGCAGCAGAATGATGCAATCCTTCCACACTGACTTACGCCGTGAACTAGGGCCGATTCCTGAATCTAGAGCTGACGACCTTTGGGAGCGTATTGTTCGCGAGTACGGAATGTTGCTAGCAAAGAATGGGTCGGCGAGGTCGTCATACCTAGTTTAGACACATCGACATCAATGTGCCTGAAACCATTGAGACAGGGCAAAGGCTCAACATTGCACTGTACAATGGTCGTTGTCTTCGGATGACGAAAGCCCTAGCGACTCTACAAGTATTCCCGGGCACACATCAACACCTTTCTGCAAGCTTCCTCGCCAATAGATATGGCCTAATTATAAAAACCGGGCCTTTTCTTGTCATCCACAATTTCCTGTGACATTGTGGCGTTTTTGGGGGGATCACTCATCTTGCTCCAGATACGATCCCTACGAAGTCTGCGTTGCTGGGAGCAGATAATGTTCTCATGATCTATTCGTTCAATCGCGATATGAACATGGATTACGGACCCGGATTCACCGGTAAATACCGAGTCCATGGTCCTTGCACAGGGAAAATCGTTATTCGACTACTGAGGATCAAGCTGAGAGGGATCCAAATGATCCAACTCATCTCATGCCAGATTTACAATCTATGTTCCATATCACACCAGTTATCTTCCCCAACATGGTAGATGCAGAAGAGAAGCTTGACCAAGTACTACAGCAACCCTGTTCCTGTGCTGTGACTCGTTCTTCTCGTTCTCGTTCTCATCTACAAGTTTTCGATATAGTGCTTATGCATATCCTTCAAATGACCCACCGGAAGTGGGCTACGTGATCAGGCCCAAAGATCATATCAATACAAGATATGCGGACCTGAACGTCTATTACCATACCGCAGCCCACGGCAACATGCACTTCCTTCTTGTGCAATGCAAGAGGCCGGCATATGAGAATCAGGAATGGATGTAGAAAGACGCATATCTACCCACGACCGCGAAACCTTACGTGAGCTATACTAAGTTGTCAGGGTCGTTCGAACGTTACAGCAGAGATTGAATTGTATGAAGCAAGGGTCTTGTCGTCTTATAAGGTCCTACAAGTGGCTGAATTGCGAGGGGGAGCTGGATGGAAGATAAGGGAGATGTTTGTGGAAACTCAGGGAATGGGAGTGGATAATGCAAAAAAAAGAGAGAGAAAAGGGGAAAAAAGATAAACAAGAAACAAAGTCCTTGAGGATTCCTTTCTTGTGGTGGAAGAATATGATGCACGAGGTAAGTACTATTTAGTTTTCCAGCTTCTCAATTTGCCACGGTACTAACAAATAGACATGGGCTGGTCAATTTCTCTTTCAGCCGGCAATCTTTTTAGTCCTCAGGTGGAAATCTCTCTCGCTGAGATGGATGTTGACAAATCCGAGACCGGCCTTCAAATGAAGCTCGAGGACAGCCACCTGCTGCTGACTGCGGGCTTTTTGCGCTGCATACAATACAGGGTTTTTTTTACGCCTTAGGCTTGAACTCCGAGGCCAGGGTGTGAGACGATTTGACGAAAAAGTGGAACGGAGATCATCGAATTTGCCGGATCAGTCCCTACGGGATCATGCGGGACGCCTTCAAAACCTGTCATCAAATCAGTACAGATTTATGAAGCTACAGACGAGTGCGTTCACGTCTATGAAGGTGTAGACGTTGAGGCAGTTAACAGCGTTGCCGAGGAGCTCGACCGCGGGGACCTGGTTCGGCGGGTGAGGGAGATACTGCCTCTCTCCTCCCACGGGACTGGTTCCAATTTGCTCAGTTTTCGGCCAGTGCAAAAAAAAAAGGCACGTTGTTGAAGTTGTCTACGCTTCGCGCTTCATTGGGGCAGCAAGAAAACCTGAGGAGAGCATGCTGCTTGTCGGAATGTCCAACGATTCTGTCTCATCGAATTCTTCGACATAAGCAATCAGCCAGCTGATGGCCAAGCGCTATGAACCGCCGAAATCCAAAGAATGGTTTGAAAAACAGGTTTCCATCAATTAACAGGAGAAGCAAGGAGATTGGCCGCATCAAGCATATTATCACCCTGGGGGCAGTGGCAAGCTGATGCAGTCTGGGAGTTGATACAGAGCAAGTGGATCGAGGCGAGGAATTCGGAAGGGAAGATTGGTGGGCTCTGGAATACAATTCTCAGCCACGACTTTCCCCCAGTTGCTGGCCGAGCAGGTCAGACAACATCATGACCAAAATCTCTACCATATCATCATCTAAACTACAGGTTTCATTGATATAGAGTGGGTCAGTACCTTACACAATCTATGTCTTCGTCTTTGAACTAACTTGATATATCCAGGAAACAGACCAGAGAGCTCCATGTGAGGAGTCCACTCTATTTTCCCTAAAATCTGGTGGGCGTCTCTTTTTGAGAAGCTGTTTGAGTCCATCAGTCGCAACTCTACATCTGAAGAGGGCATCAGCTTTACTGTGCTGCAAATACGGACATACGGAGCGATGGCTTGTCCTCACCCTACAAGGATAATACTAAGATTTTTGTCCAGTGATTCTTCTCAATATTTTTTCTCACCTGGTCCCGGATGCTGGAAGAGCTCTTTGGAGCACACTTATATTCTGGAGGCTCAAGATGGGATGGGTTGATAAGCAGTTTGCGAAGAACGAGAGTCTCTCCTGAGATCCAGCTAATTGTCAATGACTGAAACTGTATTTACCCAGCTGCGGAAGAGTAAGATTTTCCCACATATTAACTAACCGGTATCAAAGCTAACATGGCATTGAGTGACAGTGACTCGAGGTGCTGTGTCTCGACGAACCCGAACATTCTTTTCCAAGAACCATCTGACATTATATCTCTTGCTTTCGGCAGAGCAACAAGACGCGTCACGAAATTCCCAGGCCATCAGGATGCTTATTAATAGTGACAACAAAAGCTTCTTTGCTCGTTTGTTACACCTGGCAAGGATTTCTATTCTCACCACCCAGGAACATGACCCCTGCAAGAAGCTGTTACATTATATGCGGGAATTTAACAATTCGGCTTCGAGGACGCTTTTGTTGACAAAGCTGGTACGACGTCAAAGTTAGACGCAACTATTAATCCTGTGTCTCATTCTGGTGTCAGGGTCCAAAATTGAACGACATATTGTCACTACCTTAACCTGCTCGGACCAAATCATCCATTGGATGGAATGCAAAGAAATGCACTGGATTCTTCACCGAGCACATTGTCAAATCGCACAACATGCCGGACTCCTAAGCAAAATCACTGCGCAACATCTCTCCATACCTTGTAGGCGATTTTGAGACATGATTGACCTTACTAATAAGAGCATCGCACACAGCTAACAAGATATGTGACTACATCTTTTGGGCTATGTTGCGCCATCCTTGACACAATCTGAATGCGCTTACTGCCCACATCGGAATCTGCAAGAGATATTTGCCTCCAGTACCCTTGTATATCGGCCAATTCACGTGAACAAGCTTACTTCATTTGGCTCGAGAAAGTCCCTCGGCGGATATCATGCAGATGACGTAGACGGTGTAGAAGGCGGTGTGTGTTTGTGCCGGCAGAATTTCTCGATATCTTCCCTCACCCACTACGCCTCGATAGCTTCCTTCTTCTCTTTTCTTCTCCAGCTTCGGATCTTCGTTAGATAGCTGCCAAATGAACTGATTTCACTTGTTTGAGCCGTCACAGTTCTACCCAAGTGAAACTTATTGTTGGCAATTCCACATTCCTCAACCTTCTGTGGAACCTGATTTTCAACACTGCTCCAGTGAATCCCGCCACTCCTTTGCTCAGAGGGTTTATAATCCCTCGCCAAGACTTGGGGGCATTTATCCGGCAGTATTTCAGGATATATTGCGAATACATGTACCGACATCTATTCAAGAGGTTCCCTGCCGGCTCTCCTTTCTTTTCGTCCGGTCTTTGTTACGGTGAGAGCATCTGCCCTTCGATATTTCCTGTTGGGCATATCCTGATCATCCCATTTGTTGAAGGAGAACGACTGTCAATGTTATGGCGTGACCTTGATTATAGGGAGAGAAAGCGTATGGCTTTGCTTGGGATAGGAGAGTTGCCTGTACAGCTGATCGTTCGACTTCCGCTAACCGACGTCCCTCCAGCTCTATATCTGGGGCATGTTCGTTGTTCTTTCGTGGTGTCATAGGCAGTTGTTCACTTGTCTGGGGATGATGGGGTTGGAAGAACAGCTTTGGCATCTGGCGAAGATAAAGATTGACAGAGACACTTCTGAAGCCGGGGTGTTCGATCCTGATTCATGGATATGGAAAATTGGAAGCTTTACGAAGCCTAGGGAGACTGAATGGCGAGATGAGGTCATTGGACTGTGCTTCTGTTGCCTATACACTCTATTGCTTACACCAGAATGTAAGCAGCGTATCGACAAGCTGGTTAGAGATTTCGGAAACTCCGAAGGCAAAGCCAGGCAGGGTCAAGATGACTCTGAAGACGAAGAATACTTCGAGGAAGATTCACTGTCAGATGAAGAGCTATACAGGACGATCAAGCAAGCTGTTGAGGTAGATGATTGGGTAGGACCAATTAAGGCTCATATTGAGCTCTGGGAGAGAGGGCAGAAACGGGGAACTATGTTAGAAAGTTGTCTGGCCTGTGGAATAATTTGATTTATGAAGCTCTTCTGGCTGACAATTGTAGTAGGTGATACCTCAAAGCACTAATTCCGTGTCTCCTGTGCTCAAGGCAACTGATTTGGTACCGCCCGAATGCTGGCATGACTTTTCCAGCTTCGATCCTTCTCGTCAAGCGCGACTAGCATCTTTCCTTGCACAATATCAGAGGTGCTCCTGTAGCCAAGACATCATATTGCATATTGCCATCATGTGCGTTCACTCCGACTTCACACATCTCCTTATGAACTTCTTCGGATACACGGTATCGACTATATCAAAGTGGCCACCTACAAAACGTAGCTCTGGTGTAAGTATTTTCCTTAATCTTCTATCCTTTTTTCCCTGTTGGTCAGAGGACCAGTTGGGAAGGCTCCCATGAGACTCTCTTAGGCCACCAAGTCACTCAGTCAAACTATATTGTAGTTCCCTACTGGATTGCTTGCAAGATGCTGCGGGTTACCGAATTGGTCGTCATGATACTTGAGTACCTAAAGCTCAATAAAGTTGCACAGTTTGGACGAGTTTTTGAGCCACTGCTATCCCCCTCCATGCAGCAAGAGATTGTGTATTGCTCTCATCCTCTTTGCCACTTTCCTGTGACTTACTCATAGGCCAGGCCACTGATCGCTGAGGGCTACCACATCTTCCTACTCAGAAAAGGAGCAAAGATCCTGATGGAGGACCTCCAAGACTTCAGCAATTGTTGTCCTCCTAAGTTTGGAAAACCGGGTTTCAACAACTTCCATCCCATTTGAGTGTCAGCGCTCTCTTGAACCACTATAGCAGGCACGCATATTACCCAAGGCGGTCATGCTGCCCTTCCCGATGTCCAGGCTCGCTACCACTGGCCGCCTCTCCCCAAGCCTGTGACCATCGGAGACACTCTAGTCAATAGACATCCATGAATTCGGCTCTCATTGGCAAGTCTTGGATGATGATGGCTGTCACATTGTCTTACATGAATGTGATGCAAATGTCGACCATATCTCAGGCTACCTTGCACGCCCTCCTAAAGGCTTTATACCACCACAAGCCAGAATTGGTTTTGTTGATTCAACAATGCTGGTAATCTCGACGATCTTGGAAGATTTCTTTCGGCGGGGAAGAAGAAACTTGCCTTCTATAGAGCTTGGCCATATCTGCCCCAGACTGAGGTGAACCTGTATTCGTTTCTTACTCGATGAGATATGCATGATATTCTGCAGGGTTGTTTCTTGATGCTTTTGGTATATGCTTACTCTGCGGGATTATATTTATATTATGACAATCTCAACGACGTCTAAAAATTTAAAAAATAAATAGCATGAAACTTGGCTTCTGGTTTCTTTTCTATCGATCAGTTTCGAATAGTCCAGCACATTTGTCAGCAAGCATGAATTTAACCCGATTACCCACTCGTCCCACTTTTTGGTTTGGTTGATATGACGACAGCATTATATTCTCCGGAGGGGCACCCATCAACGGGATATATTCTCTGCTGACATTTCTTTTCTATAGTCACTAGAAATATTTAATTCATAGTATAATATATATCCATGCCAGGCTCCAAGCTGGGCATCTTCCCCGCCGCGGGCGGCCTGGGCGGCAGCACGATCAAGCATCTGCTGCCGCGCATCCCCGCCGCCAATCTCGTCCTCATCGCCCGCTATCCCGACAAGCTGGCTGCCGAGAGCGCAGCCGGCGCTGTCGTGCGCAGAGCCGACTACGACGACGAGGCCTCGCTGCAGCGTGTGTTTGACGGCATTGGCGCGCTGTTTTTGATCTCGTACGCGTCCTGCGAGTATGAGCATCGCGCGGAGGTAAGCAGATAACATATTCAGAGATAATATTGACGAAAGGCTGACTTTTTTTCAGGCTCACCGACGCGCTATCGACGCCGCCCTTCGCAGCGGCGTCAAGCACATCTTCTACTCCTCGCTCGCCTTCGCCGGAAACCTGACGAAAGAGACTGTCGCCCTGGTCATGCGGGCCCACCTCGCGACGGAGGCCTATCTCGAAGAGCTCGCTCGTCAGCGACGGGACTTCACCTACACCGCGATCCGCGAGGGGCTGTACCACGAGTCGTTCCCCATCTACACGGCCTTCTTCGACCCGCTGAACCCCGTCGACGAGATCAAGATCCCGCATGATGGCTCTGGACCCGGAGTTGCGTGGGCCAAGCGCGAGGAGCTCGGCGAGGCGACGGCCAAGCTGATTGCGCAGTACGCGACGAATCCGCAGGCCTTCCCGTACATGAACAAGACAATCCTGCTGTCCGGACCCAAGGTGTTGACGCTGAAGGAAGTGGTCGACATTCTGGGCCGGCTCATCGGCAAGCAGGTGCGTATCAAGCAGGTGTCGGTGGACGAGTACGCCGCGCAGCCGCAGATTGCGCCGCGTCTCACGTATCACGGCGTCAACCTGGCCAAGGAGTGGGCGACGGCGTGGGATGCCATCCGCCGCGGCGAGTGTGCGGTTGTGACGCCGCATCTGCGTGAGATATTGGGTCGAGAGCCGGAGGATTTTGAGACGACGGTGCGCCGGCTGATTGGGGGATAAGACAGTATCTGTTGGACTCAAGTATAGATATCATTTAGCATTCAAACTCTGCAAGTTCAGCATGAGCTCAAGAGACGAGTTTCAGTCTGTGATACCAATGCAATAAATACACTTCTTGACATAATGAAGTGAAGGCAGTGACTGTAGTTGGATGGTAACTGTACGTGAGAAATTATACCTAGTAAGAATAACAAACTGTAGTACTAAGAGAGACTGTAGGACTCGCTATCAGATATAATGCGATTCACCTATATTACAGGATTGTTTTTTTTTTTAGAGGAAAAAGGAAAGTCATCTTCTTTAAATAAGACTTTCTATCCTCAAGTCTGTCTCGTTTGCTCGATTTCTATTCGTGAGTAGTCTAAGAGAATATACATATATATTGGGAATCAGCTAGGCTATTCTGTCAATACGATGAGCTACGGTTGATAAATCAGCCTCCGGAGTAGCCATTTATTTTCTTGCATGGATGTCATGGTTATTCAACTGTGCTCCCTATATTATATATATGCTAAAACCGGGTACTGCGAAGCGTACATAGGTCCATGTTTACACGCGACTTTCTTCCAACTCAGCTTCTGACAGGTTGTATGCAGCATACGTATTCAACAATGAAGACCGTATTCCTGCCGATTTTCCGTGTATACTTGCTATTACTCCATACTGTTGTCCCCGCATACCCCGCTCGCCAGCTGATCGACGGTGTTTCTACCCCGGACAGGTACTGATCAGATCCAATCAGAACGCATGCTAGTCAGATTTATTCATTTCTGGCATAAGCATACAGGATAAGCACAGCTGGAATGTCTAGTTCCAGCTCTAATGGCTTAATTTTCCACCAATTTTTGGCAGTACTCTATTGACTCTGCTCGATATATATATATACAGATCAACGGACTATCTGTCTTAGTTTTGCAGTTTACTGAGAATAAAGGTGTAGGATATTTTTTTCTGGCAAGATGCTCCTCCCACCCATTGCTGTGTTATTTGCAACGCGCGCGCTGGCAGACACCGTCACCCTTCCTGTCGCCGTATCGCCTCCAGCGTCAGCAAGCACTCCGGTTCCGGGAGACTTTCAGTCGTTTTCGATCGAATTCGCGTTTTTCCCTGATTTTGCTGGTAGGACCTGTTTGAGGCTGCTTGGTGAATATTATATAATTTCGATTTTATAGGAAACTATTCCCATCCCAACCATCTGACGAATACTCTTCTGGCCAATCTGCGGAATTTTACTGGTGCAGAGCAGATTATTCGTATTGGCGGGAATACACAGTAGGAATCTTCTTTCCTTTTTTTTTTGAATTTATTTATTCATTTTTATTTTTATCTTTTATTTTTTTATTTTTTTGTTGCTGACCTGCAGATTGCCAGAGACCACGTCGTCTACATCGCCTCCCAGAAACAAGGCATCATGAACACCTGGGACTACACGTACAACCTCGACCAGCCCAAAAACAGCACCATCGGCCCCGCCTTCTGGGAATCGCTGAACGTCCTGCAAGACACAAAGTACATCTTCGGGCTGAACTTCTACAAAAACGACTCGGACTTCCTCGCCAACCTGCAGTACGAGGTCAATCAGACCCTGCTCCGGCTGCCCAGTGACAGACTGCATCTGTTCGAGCTGGGCAATGAGAACGATTACGGTGCGAATTCGGGGTTTCGTCCGCGTAACTGGACGCAGTTCGATTATGTCGATGAGTGGATTTTCCGGACTCGTCACGTCCAGACGCCCCAGCGCAGTCTGCGCTTCTTTGCGCCGTCGTTCTGCTGCTTCAATATCACAGCTCCGACGTTCTTCTCGCCCTGGACCGTGTGGAATGAGTCGTATCGATATGACCGCGATGGGTGGATCGAGGAAGTGTCTCAGCATGGGTATATATACTAGCTTCAATAATTTGAGGTTTTAAATGTCTTCGTCGTAGCTAATTCTTACTTTATAGGTATATCTCGTCGACGTCGAGAAATCCAACTCTGCAAGGTGCGTCTAACTGTCTACTCTGCTAGTACAGCTGACAGTCTCAGGAACATTGATGAACCATACCTCTGTCGTCCAAGCCGTCCAGCCACACGTCGAGCTGAACATCTTCCACCAGCAGCACGGACGACGGTACACAATCGGCGAGACGAACAGCGTCTCGGGACAGGGCTCGCACGGGGTATCCGACGTGTTTGGCTCTGCGTTGTGGCTGGTCGATTACTGTCTGTACATCGCGTCGCAGGTGCGACTCCTTACCATCGTGGCTCAGTTATTCTGACTTGGTATACTGACTGCCTAGAACATCACGAGAATCCACCTCCACCAAGGCACGCTACCGATACGGCATCCTGGCTGCCCATCCCCGTCAACGGCACAGGGCCGCTCGTCAAGCCGCCGTACTATGGCAACATCTTCGTGGCGAAATTCCTAGGCTGGTCAGGCCCGCAGATCAGCAACATTGACTTAGGCAGCGACTACTACTCGGCATACGCGGCGTACGAGGGAGGAAAGCTGGCCCGCCTGGCGATTCTGAATCTGCACCAGTACGACCCCGGCATGAACGGGACGCAGCGGCCACAGACGAGCTTCGTCCTTCCCAACCTGCCAGATTTTACAGCAGCAAAGGTTGAGGTCCTCACGGCGCCGGGCGCATCGTCCAACTCGTCCATCACCGTCGCCGGTCTGAGCTACGATTACCAGCTGGGTCAGGGGCGGGGTGTCCAGGTGGCCGCGACGGGGACCACCATCGAGTCGCGGAATGGGTCGTTTACTGTCGATGTGGCGGCGTCGGAGGCGGTTATTGTGTCGTTTCTACAGTAGATAGTAGCGTACTTCGACATTGGCATGGTAATACAATGCAGAATATAACTCAGTTGTTAGGTGAGATGCTGTCCTCATATCTCGCCAGTATTCTACATATGCCATTGTCTGTATTCTTCTATATACGCCATTGTCTTCTATACATAGCACTACCGGTTAATATTTTTTGGTAACTGTACTGTACCGTATTACTTTATCGCGCAGTAGTCGATGCTACAGTTCTTCTATGTATTCCCCGTATTATCGAATGAAAGTAGCTTGAAGAAAGCAAAAAAGCAAATATAGCAATTTTCTCTCTCTCTCTCTTCTTTTTTTTAAATAAAAAAAGAAAAAGAATGAATTCTACTAGGTAAGAGATTAATTCCTGTGTAACAGCCACCCACGTATTTCTGTAGAGTACACTACATACCTTTATTCTAAGTAGTACCAGGACATGCACATATCCTCTAAGGACATTAAGTCCTCGTCTCACCGTACAGCAAATATACGAGCTTCAGCTATGATAATACGAATCTCGTATTCCAGGGTCCACGGCTGACATGCGCCACCCGTACTGCGTGTAAGCACTCTATCCATTTATAAATACGAAGTTACATTGATAAAATACGATAGGCATAGGCCAGAGATCCAGTACCACTATCTACCTATCACCGTATATACATACCTAGGTAATGAGACAGCAAAAGCATAAGCCAGAGGAGGACAGAGTAGTGTATGATATTTACAGAGTAAAGTCCCTCGTGGAGAAATATGGCAATTCAGAGAAAGGACATAGTAGTGAGGTGGTTAAGGGCGAGCTTTATCGCCATCCGGGGGCCAAACTCGTATTGCTCGACCCCGCAAGTCTTGGATTCTCGTCCGTGCGGTGGATCCGATGAGGTTATTTATGGCAATAAACGGCCCCCGCAAGCAGTCAAACTGAGGCACAGCAGTCAAAATATTATCATGACTGGCAGTCTGTACTCGTGACAGGTTACTTTATTATTCGTTGTTTGTCTGCAGGAGGTGTTATTGCTGCATGTGTCGGCTGTTAGCAGAATCCTCGAGATTGCGATCTCCACTGTATCCCGTTTCTAGAACGGTGGCAGTGGGGCGATGGAACCTCGTTCTCTCCTCGCCATATCTGTATGGAGTCATGGAGTACAGACAGAGTCGGATTGAGACCAATCAGCAGTTCTATATGCTGCTCTCTTATCTTTGAGTTCTGATTCAGCTGACTTGTCTGTCTACTCCGTATTTCTGTGGAGCTGCTTGTTAATATCGTCTCGCCAAGTCGCACCAGAAGATCGAGAGATCGACAGAGTAACAGACAGTTCAGGCTTCAGCCCCTGCCCATCACGCCAAGGATCCTCATGGCGCACGATGACACGCCGTTAGTCGTCCGTGCGGAGGAGTATTTAGAGTGAGCCTGCTCCAGCCATCTCCATCGACCGTCTCTCACCACACACCCCTCCACCACCATGATTCTCTCCAGCCTGCTGTCGCTGGCGGCTCTGTCGCTGCTGGCCTCGTCTGCCGCCGGTGAGGTGCTCGAGAGGCTTCGCGCGACGCCGTCAGGCTGGCGATTCTCGCGCGCTGCCCGCGACGACCAGCCCATCCGCCTGCAGATCGCGCTGCAGCAGCACGACGTCGACGCCTTCGAGCAGGCCGTGCTCGACATGTCGACGCCTGGCCATCCGCGCTACGGCCGGCACTTCCAGTCGCACGACGAGATGAAGCGCCTGCTGCTGCCGTCCGACGAGGCCGTCGACGCTGTCGTCGCCTGGCTGCAGCGCGCCGGCGTCCGCGATATCGAGCAGGACGCCGACTGGATCAACTTCCGCACGACTGTCGGCGTCGCCAACAGACTGCTCGACACGCAGTTCGGCTGGTATGTCAGCGACGAGACGCATGTTCGCCGCCTGCGCACCCTCGAGTACTCCGTGCCCGACGAACTGGCCCAGCACATCTACATGATCCAGCCGACCACGCGCTTCGGCCACGTCCGCCCGGAGCGCAAGAACTCGCATCCCAAACCCCTGCCTGGAGAGGCCCATCGCGCGCTGAAGGCGGCTCGTCTGGGCGCGGGCTTCAACGAGTCGCTCGCCTGCCAGGAGATCGTCACGCCGTCGTGCCTCAAGAACCTCTACCACATCGGCAACTACTCTGCCAACCCGCACAGTGGCAGCAAGGTCGCCTTCGCGAGCTACCTGGACGAGTACGCGCGCTACGCCGACCTGGCCCTCTTCCAGGGCTATCTGGCGCCGTGGGCCCAGGGCCAGAACTTCTCCGTCGTGCAGTTCAACGGCGGCCGCAACGACCAGAACTCGTCCGCCGACAGCAGCGAGGCCAACCTCGACCTGCAGTACATCCTGAGCCTGAGCTCGCCGCTTCCTGTCACCGAGTACTCGACCGGCGGCCTGGGCTATCTTGTCCCGGACATCAACGAGCCCACCGCCGCCGACAACCAGAACGAGCCGTACCTGAACTTCCTGCAGGACATCCTCAAGCTGCCGCAGAAGGACCTGCCGCAGGTTATCTTGACCTCGTACGGCGAAGACGAGCAGGTAGGATGGCCGACTAGTTGACGAGCGATGTTTCCCTTGCTAACGACTGTCCACAGAGCGTTCCCGAACGCTACGCCCGCACCGTGTGCAACCTGTTTGCGCAGCTGGGCAGCCGCGGCGTGACGGTGCTTTTCTCGTCCGGCGACTCGGGCGTGGGCACAGGCTGCGTGTCCAACGACGGCAAGAACCAGACGCAATTCCTGCCGCAGTTCCCGGCGTCGTGTCCGTGGGTGACGTCCGTGGGCGCGACGCAGGGCCAGCAGGAGAGGGCAGCGACCTTCTCGTCCGGAGGCTTCTCGAACCTGTGGCCGCGGCCAGACTACCAGAAGGACGCTGTCGACGCGTATCTGGCCAAACTGGGCGACCAGTGGAAGGGTCTGTACAACGAGTCCGGCCGCGGATTCCCGGACGTCGCCGCGCAGGGCGTCAACTACGCCGTATACGACAAGGGCATGCTGACGATGCTGGAGGGCACGTCGGCCGCGTCGCCGACATTTGCGGCCATCGTGGCGCTGCTGAACGACGCCCGGCTGCGCGCGGGCCAGCCGGTACTGGGCTTCCTGAACCCGCTGATCTACAGCAAGGGCTACAAGGCGCTGAACGACATTACTCACGGCGGCAGCGACGGCTGCAATGGACAGAGCCGCTTCGGGGGCGGCACGCTCGAGGGCGGCGCCGTCATTCCGGGGGCGAGCTGGAACGCGACTGAGGGATGGGATCCGGTGACGGGGTACGGTACGCCGGATTTTGCGAAGCTGCTGAAGCTGGTGGTGCAGTCCAAAAGGTAGCCAAACAACTCGCAGTGGTGCTATTCGTGTAACATACCTTGTCTGCTTGTTGTTTTTCGTATATAGCTAGACGGATAGATTGAACTAGCATGTATCTATCTCACTAATACTAGAGTCAAGACCATGACTATGATAATCTAGGCCGTATCTCTGATAAATCTGGTGAGAGAGTCTACAGTACCTGCTTAGGGAGTTTCAGCATTGCATTTTAAATCAGTCGTACATACAGCAGGTAGTTTACTGCAAAATGTAAATATATCTTGTTTTCCCAAGCTGTCGACCAGACTGGACCGTTCTATAGGCAAAGATGCATCTTATGTTAGTATAAATACTTCAACCTTAGGTATACTTAACTTGTAACCAGAATATTCAGAATCAACAGCTCGTGGGAACGATATCGAACAAAACAGACGACTCGCCTATCCAATTCTATTTCAGTAGATGAGAGTAGTCCATATATATAAGTACGATACAAGAAACGAACACATTTAGTTTTAAACAACTGTATAAATAAATAAATCTTCCCTGCCTGTTATTTTTTTTTTAGAAAAAAAAAAATTCAACTGTACTGGCGAAAGCAGCTTCATTGATAAATGAATATTCTAATATTCTAATTATTAGACAGACCACGGCAAGAGTCATTAAATACTGACCATGAGAGGATTATATTATAGTAGTACTATCGAGGATACATTATACTTATTTTTTTATTCCGGATCGGGGCCTTCAAGAATATATCTCTGGATGGCCCAGTCGTGAACTGCCCAGAGAACTTGTACAGTCTCGGCATTTTAAATGGGCTTAACCAACAGGAATTGAAGTTGAAGGATGAGATATTAGATCAATTCGTGTTTTGCCAGGCGATTCGGGAAGCGGATGGGGTTCGGATTGCTCTTGATCAGCAACTGTCGTCGGCGACTGTCCGATACCGGATGAAACGGGGAGGTGAAATCACGGGCTTTGAACAGGTCACGAAGCCGTACTGCCTTCGATAC